GGCAGGTGCTCCTCCCAAACGCAAAGGAAACAACCGACGGAAACTGAGGGCATCCGTGTGGGGGCGCGTCCCAACTTCAAAGCGTGTCTGCAGCCAAGTTGGTTTCACCCTCTGGCACCTGTCCCTCCCACCACCCCTGAGCTGTCTGTCAGACACCACTGACAACAGACTGATGGCGAGCTGACCCTGGCCGGACCCTGCCGACCCCCAGCCCCTCCCCCCACCTCCTCTCCCCCCAGACACCCCCCTCCCCAGGTAGGGTGCTGGAGGGGGGTCCACTCATGTCCCTTGGAAGCAGGGACCCCAGTGCAGGTTGCTGCTGGGTGGAGAATGGGACCCAGGACCCCTGCACACCATGGTGCCTGCGTCTCCGTGTCTGATGCCCCTCCCTCCAGGGCTGAGCGCTAGCTGACCCTCCAAGTGAGGATGGCTGCTCTGTAAAGGTCCCACCGGAGCCCCCGGAGCAGGGCTGGAGTGGGGGCGCTGAGCTTCTGGGCCTCCCCAGCTCCTCCTTGTAGCTCCAGCCCAGCTGCCTGGATTCTTTTGGAGCCCAGGTGGTTTGGGGGACCCAGCAGGTACACATCTCGGACTTCAGCCGCCGTCTCTAAGACAGCTTCCAACACTCACTCCTTCAGGGAGCCCAACAAGATGAGGAAAGCGGGGAGAAGTGACGCACCCCACTTGAGAGCCACCCTCACGGGGCTGACACTGCGGCTGGGAGGAGAGGGGAGGGCTAAGTGGGGTCCTGCTCCCCAAAAACCCTGGTCGGGCATGTGTGTGTCTCCATCTGGTCCTGATCTTGCTTCTCACAGAGAAGGAACCAACGCTTAGAGCTGTGGGAACCTCCAGAACTGACCCACAGCTGCTGTGCCCAGTGCCAGGCAAGGAGCTGTGGGGGCAGGCGGAGCCACCGTCCTGGGCACCTCCTCCCCACAGTCCCCGGGGATCTGAGAGGACAGGTCCCTGGTGGGCAGCAAGCTTGGTTCTGACGCCCTGGGGGTCTTGCCAGGGCCAAACGCACAACAGGATCACGCTGGGCCCCCGGGAGCAGCTCTGTGTTCCCTCCTCTACCCCCCTCCCCCGGCGTCACCTGCGCCACCACCAGCCGCCTTCCTCTGAGCAGTTGCCTGGCCACAGAGCCCCATTCATGTTCCCCACACATCTCAGGCCCCCAGGGGCTGGCCCAGGACAGCCGGCGTGGAGCCGAGTGGCGGCTGGGGGCTGTGGCCACCAACACATCTGCTGCCCCGGGCGCCTGGCACTTGGTCAGCCCTGCAGGGAGAGGCAGTGCCCTGCTGCATTCCCGAGTGACTGCTGGCCCTACCCCGGCTCCTGCCACGCTCGGCAGCTGCACCTGCTCCCGCACCAGCCCCGGAAAATGCAGGCCGCTGCAGGATGGACAGCACCCCTCCCCCGCCCCTCCAGAGGCTGGGCGATCTTCCGGCCCAGCTCCCACTCCCGGCCCCTGGGTGGGCTCCAGGCCTCTCTACTAAGTTCCTGCTGTCCACCAAATATTTGTTTCTCCACTTCCTCCCCAAGGTCATGTGGAAGCCCAGCCCCCAGTGGGTTAGTATTATGAGGTGGGGCCTTTGGGAGGTGATCAGGTCATGAGAGCAGTGTCCCCATGACTGGATTAGCGTCCTTGTAAGAAGAGACATGAGGGATGTGCTCTCCCCACCACTGAGGACACAGCAAGAAGGCAGTCGTCTGCACACCTGGAAGAGAGCTCTCACCAGGCCCCGACCGTGCTGGCGCCCTGATCTCTGACTTCCAGCTTCCAGAGCTGTGAGAAGCAAATCTCATTGTTGTTTCAGTCTGGCAGTCTATGGTCTGTTTGTTACAGCAGCCAGAGCCTGCTCAGTTTCCCTGGCTGCTGTAGCCTGAGTTACTGGTTGCAAGTAGCAGAAACTGACTCTGGCCACTGAAGTGGGAAGGAATTTGCTGGGAGAAGGTCAGGCCTCTGGAAGAACCCAAGGGAGGCTGGAGATCCAGTGGGAGCTGCAGAGGCAGGGCTGCAGGGAAGCACAGCCTCATCGCTGAGACTGGACGCTGCCCAGCCCTGCACCACTGCGCGGCTGGTCTCCGTGGGCGTGGGGCGGCTGCCTACCTCCAAGGAGCCCAAGCCCATGGGTCAGAGCTGTACCACCGGCCGATACACAGCCACAGGCACTGCTGCTGGGCATCAGGGCCAGGGACGCTGCCACCACTAGCAGACCCCGTGGCCACAGGGTGCTGTCACCCCATTACTGGCCCTGCGGCCACGGGACCTGCCACCATACACTAACCCCTGCCCAAGTGAACTTGAACAGTCACACGACTTTTCTAGCCTCAGTTTCCTTTTCCAGCCCGATGCTGTGATGATCAGGTGAGCAGATGTGTGTGAGGGCAGTTTGATACATTTCGGATGAGATGACACAAGAAGGCTTATGACAATAACTGTGAAAAGGGAGACAAATAAATTCATAAAAGTGTAACTTCTGGGCCTGGGGAGGGCAGTGTGGGAGGAATCTGAAGACGCAAATAGAAGGCAGCTGGCTGCCACTGATTCAGCACGGCTCGCTCCAGGAATGCCAGGTTGGCTCGACGTCAGACAGTCTATAACCGCAGTCACCTCTAACAGATCCACACTCAACACCCACAGGGCAGGGGTCCGGGAGGGCTCACACCGGGCAAAGGCTGCAGCGGGGCTGAAGCAGCGCAGCTCCCGGAGGCCAAGAACAGGCGCTCAGAGCCCGAATTCCCGAGCGGGAGCTGTCCCGCCCGCCATCCTCCTGTGGCGTGGGCACCAGCGTCTGTCGCCCTGGCTGCGGTCAACGTGGGGCGAGCCCCAGTCTGCTTCAGGGTTCTGAGCCCCACCTACGGCACTTGGGGCAACGGGCACACACACTGTTGCCCTCCCAGCACCCTGCTCTCTTCCTCCGGCTTTGCTGGGGGCACCACACGTCCCTGGTGATTTGTCTGATTCTGTCACAGCAATCCTGCCCCCCCTCCCCAGCCTCCTCTGCTGTGAGGTGTGGCCCTGTGACCCAACGCAGGCCAACGAGAGCTACATGCCAATCTGCTGGAGAAGAGGGCTCTACGGAGACGCTTCCTCTCCTGACAAAGGGACATGTGTCAACGGCAAACCAATGACAGCACGTGGCTGAGCGCGGGACTCCCCGCTACGTGATGGAAACAAAGCTCTCCCACCCCAGCCACATCAGGCAGGCTCCGGACACAGCCCTGAGACCGGGCCGAGAGCTGCGTGACGGTGGAGAGTGATGCGGGGAAGGTGCATCCCAGTGGCTGAGTGAAGAGGAGGAGCAGTGTGGCTGAGAACACTCTCAGCAGCAGAGGGAGCCACGTGAGCAAGGGCCTGGTCAGCTTCAGCAACACCAGGAGACCGGAGCGGCCGGGGCATAGTCCAGGAACAGGGTGGGCAGAAGAGGGGCTGCAAGCAGGTGGAGTCAGACCGAACAGAGATGAGGGGAGGCTCCAAGGTCGGGGGTGGGGGGAAGGAACATGGAGAAACCCTGGCATGTCACCCAGGAGAGGTGGCAAGACCTGGTCCAGGTGGGGGCTGTGGAGATACAGGAGAGAAGGAGGCCTGTGGGTCCAGGGGCAGGAGAGGTGAATGCAGACTGAGGAGAAGGACCCCTGCCCTTGGGGCTGCTCTGGGCAGAGGGCCCATCCTGCAGTGGGAAGGGTGGCACTGGGACACACTGAATGCCACCTTCTTCCTGCCTGTCCCAGAGACCAGAGCTCCCAGCTCCCAAGGCACCCAGTTCTGGGCGCCCCTCTGCCCTGCCTCTTTTCCTGACTGCAAATGTCATCACATCTCCACCCTGCTGTCCCATCAGGGACCCTTAGGACACCCCCAGCACCTCACTGCTGCCCATCACCCCCCACCATCCCACCCTCTTTGGCCTCAGCCACACTTCTCTATTTTGAGCAAATAAGCCACCACCAGCCCCTGCCTCAGGACCTTTGCATATGCTGCTCCTGCTGCCTTGAGATTGTGGGCCCTCTGGGCACTTCAGATTCCTTCCCCACAAGGTCCTGTCTGGTGCAACCCACCACCCTCCATTCCCCTGCTCTCCTTCAGTTTCACCTCCTAGAAAACATGGCTGAGGCCAGGCTGCCTTCTTGAAGCAAAATGCTGGCCAGGGGTGTTTCCAAGAAACCTGTCTTAAGTTTTAACATCCCCTGCCCTGGGACACCCCAGTGTGTCTGGACCTGAGCCCCACTTGCCTGGGGGAGGGCCTGAGAGGGGTCGGGCTGGAGACTCTGGACAGAGTCCAGATTGGAGCCCCTGCCCTAACTCCCCAGGTCGGGTGGCAGGCTCCCTTCCCCACAGAGGAAGGGCAGCTGGGGTGCTGGCTCCGGGTCCCCAGCCCTGAGGCCACGTCATCTACAAAGTTGTGCTGAGCTAGGGGCAGCGGGACAGGCAGTGTGGGGGGTCTTGGAAACAGCTTTATTGCCAGTGAGGAGGAAACAGCATGGAGGCAGGATGCTCCCAGGGGGGTCTCAGGAGGGATTCACAGGCCGCTTAGGGGGCCGAATCCGGTCATTGATCCAGTCCACATAGTTGGCCACGCGGGTGTAGACGCCCGGTTTGTTGAGCCGCCCGCAGCCGTCACCCCAGCTTATGACACCGTACAGGTAGGACACACCATTCTTCTCACAGGCCAGGGGCCCGCCCGAGTCCCCCTGCACAGTGGCTAGTCAGAGCCGGGCCAGCTCCTCAACACTCCCGAATGGTCCCTGCCCCCTCGCCCCAGCCTCCCTCACCCCGACCCCGAAAATGCCCCCAGAGGAGTCAAGGGCGCAGAAGAGTCAGACGCTCCCCTGTGACAGACTCCCTGGCAGCTGACAAGGTGGCCTCCTGACAGCTTGGGGGACAGATGACATAGGTATTCCAAGGAAGGGGCCTGCCCCACCTTCCCCCAGCCTCATAGACAGGAAGTCCTCCCATTCCCAGGATGCTGTGACAGCGTCTGACCAGTCATTCCCATTTCTAAAGTCCTGCGGTGGCTCCCTCCTGCTTCCATGACCAGCAACGTCTTCCTCAGTCTGGCTCCCCTCACCACCCAGCAGCATGCACCCCACAGAGACGAGGTGGCCCTGGGTTCCAGCACAGGCTACTTACTCTCCACTTGAAATGCTCTCCTCAGCCCCTGGGACACTATTCACCCCTCAGGACACGTGCAAACGCCTCCTCCTCTGTGAAGCCATCCTTGACTTCCCCCCAAGGGCACTTGCTGTACCACGTGGTTCAAGGGGTGGGGTGTACCCTACTCCTTGCCACTTCTGGGCTGTATGACCTGGGAAGAGTGAGCAGACCCCTCTGGGCCTGGCCTCAGTTTCCCCACCTATAAGATGGGGAGTAAAGCAGCTTCTCTCTCTCAGCATTGACATGCAGCCCCTGGAGGAGTGCTTGATAAATGAGCTGCTGGGATCAGCTGATCGACTAAGTGCGCTTGGGAGAACCCTGGGAGAAAAGAGATTAGGCCTTGACGTCGCGTGGCTGGGCAGCTGGGGCCTGCCTGCTGTTTGTGACCTGGCCATCCCTGGCCTCACTCCCAGTCCCTGTGAGCAGGGCCTCCAGCAGCGACCAAGTGGCCTCCAGCAGCAGTGAGCGCCCATTCTGGGGGGTGGCCACCAACAGGAAGGTGGGCTTTCTGCCCTGACCCCTGTCTGGCCCTACAGGTCCTGTCCCTCTGGGCCCTGAGCAACCCAGTGGCAGGCTGTCCCAGCTCACCTGGCAGGCATCCGACCTGCAGTCGAAGTATCCGGCGCACAGCATGTTGGGGCTGATGTCTGCCCCATATACTTCAGGGCTGCTGCACTTGTGGTCAGCGACCAAGGGGACCAGCGCCTCCCGCAGCGAGCTGGAGTAGCCGCTCACGTCTGCTGACACAGTGCTCTCAGGCTGGGTGAGGCTCACGGGTGCTGGGCCTGCTCCCCTGGGCGTGATGCCAGCCCCCTGCCCCAGACCCACTCACTCTCATCCTGGTGGCCCCAGCCTGCAATCTGGCACTTGTGTCCAGCCGGGAAGGAGCTGCCGGGCTCAGGGAGGCAGATGGGCTGGACGAACTGGGAACGGACAGCACAGCGTTCCCCCTTCTTCTCCAGCCGGATCAGGACTGGGTGGGAGAGAGGCCGGAGGTCAGCCTGTGTCATGGGGGCCCAGGAGGACAGAGGGTGGCCATCGAGTCACATGGGGGTGCAGCCCCGCTGGGCAGAGGGCTATGGCCTAGGAGGCCCAGGAGGGAACCAGAGGACCGGCCAAGGGCTCAGCAAGGCTGGTAGGCCAGGACTTCCCCTGGCCAGGCCAAGATTGCTCTGTCACACGGGGCACCCTTGCTGTCCAAACCCGTGCTGTCCTCCTCCCTGCCTTCCTCCATCCTCCCCTGCACCCTTCCCTCCACCCTCCTCCCTCTCCTCCCTGCTCTGTCTCTTCTTCCCCTCCCTCTCCCTCTATCAGGCCCCTTTAGGGTCTGAGGACTCTTCTGGGCCTGCCTGGTGCCCACTCCCAGCCTCTTTCGTGGCTCCGCCCCAGTGTGCACAGAGCACACATCCACGCCCTGCTGCACCGCACCGCGTTCCGAGTCTCACCAAGGTCATGGTCACTGGGGTTGAACACTGAGTACAGGGGGTATGGGATGTACTTCTCTATGCCAAACGTCTGTGTCACGTCAGTCGTGTGGTTGAAGAAGTGTTGGCCCAGGACCACGGAGATGCTGTCCCTGGGGGGGCTGTGCAGGGGCGCTGGTGGCTGCATGGCCCGGCCATCCCCTCCGGCCCCTGAGGTCAGCTCACCCCTTACCCATGGTGGCGGAGCATCCAGGAGACAACCCCAGGTGGGAGATGCCGTGCAGGACCCTCCCTCTCAGCCCCAGCCCCGGGAGAGACCTGAGCAGGGGTTGGGGCATGGGCCGGAGTGTGATGGGGAGCAGTGGGCTAGGGCCACACCCTTAATCCGGGGCAGCACCACCTCCAACACAACAACAAGTGAATTAATAACCTGGGGCCCTCATGCAGGTCCAGGAGCACGCCCTCCTGTGAAGTCACCTGGGTGTCCAGGAGCCTGGGCCCTTCCCTCACCCTCCACCTGCCCATGAAGGCCCTGGTCCATCCACTTCCACCAGCCCTGCTTGGCCCAGACCTGGGACCAGTATGCTGGGGTCCGGCCCAAAGGGAGTGGGTACTCTGACCCAGCTTGGCCTCTCCCCAGCCCATCCCTGGAAGTGGGAGAGGATGCCTGCTCCCCTCCTCCAGCCTCTTAACCACCCCACTCCCATTCCACACTGTGAGGTCGCAGTAGGTCCCATTTCACGGCCGAGTGGGAGCGTGCTGCAGGTCACACAATGGTCAGCACAGGGCAGCACTTGTGGTGGCTGCCACCCCCTCCCCCGCCCCCAAGCTGTAGTCTCTGGGGTGATTGATGGGGCTCACTGTCGGGCTCCTCCGTCCTTCCGGAGCCCTGATCCCTGGGATGCCACTGTCAGGCCCATCCCCTCCCACCGAAGCCCCCCCAACTCCGGGGAGCCCTCCCCCGGCAGAGCCTTGCTCCCATCACTGCGGTAGGAGCGAGGGATGGGCTGGCCTGTCCTGCTCTGAGCCCGTTGGCCCTGGCCCTCGGGTTGTGGTGGCGGTCCTCGCAACCCTGACCCCTCCCCCAGCTGCTAGCCCCAGCCTGCCTTCCCCACCAAGAGCCCGCAGGTCGCGAGGGGCCTTGACTACCTGCCACCCTGGTACCATTAGCACGGTGTGGGCGGGGCCGGGGCCGGAAGGGGCGGGCCCTGCGCGGCGACTGGTCACGCCCACCGCCTCTGCTTCGCGCACGCGCGCCGCCCCGTCTTGCTCTGAGCGGCAAACCGGGCGCTCCCGGGGCAAAGACTGGGACAGAGCGGCGACCCAGGGCAGGGACAGGGATGGGGACAGCACCCCGGGATAAGAATGGGGCGGGTCTTGGCGGCCTCCATGCCCAGTACCGGGCTGAGCGCTGAGTCCCACCTGAGTCAGGGGGCAACGGGGAGCAAAAGGGACCAAAGGACGGGGTTTACACGGGTAGGTGGGAAACACTGGGGACACATGGGTGATGGTTAGGATAGGCATATGGGTGGGTAGATGGGTGGCGGGTGGAGCCTGGAAAGATGTGCAATGGATGGTGGAGTATGGCCGGTTGGGTGGGCGGAGGCATAGATGGTGGTGGGCGGAAAAGTGGGTGGTTTGAGGGATGGTGTGGGGGTGGTGGACACTGGGGTGGGAGCAGCTCACCTGTTGGAAAAGCAGTGGGCTGCAGACACCACCCAGCAGGTGTGGACAAGGCTCCCGGCACAGAAGCTGTTCCCGACGTAGATGGCGGCCAGCCAGGGGTGCGAGCCGGGCAGCGAGGCTGAGCCGCCAATGATGCGTGGCCGCAGGAAGCTCCTCTTCTTGTGTCTCTTGCCGCAGGTCTGGCGTCCAGCTGATCCAGCTACGGGGGGCTCAGACAGCAAGATCTCAGGGGGCGGGGGTTGAATTCTGGCCAGGGATTCTGGGAGCAGAGGTCACCAGATCACACCCCTGGGCTCCTTCCGCACACCCCAGGCCAGAGAGGGTCCTGGCTGCATTCCATGTCCTCAGGACCTGGCGGTTCACCCGCCTTCCTCCCCACCCTAGGCAGCTGCTGTGGAAGAGGGTCCAGGGTTGGGCTCAGTGCTGCCCTTGTGGGCACATGACTTACTCTGAACCTCAGTTTCCTCATCTGCAAGATGGGGAGACCGTAATGCAGTCACGAGGCTTGGTGGGAACCAGAGTGAAGTGGCATACCTGGCAGGTGTTTATGGCCCCCCAGCAGCCTGGGATCCCAGAGCCCACCCAGGATGCCCAGGACGGTCAGGGAGCCCTGGGGTCTGTGGCCAGAGGACACGCTGGCCTCATGAAGCTGCCCACTCCCAGGGTCTGACTCCAGGGGCACCCATATTTTTCACCCCCACCTGCACTTCCCTGTTTCTGGAGGCCACCCTGCCCCTGAGACAGGTTGGGTGGGCCACCCAGAGGACCTGGTGACCAGCTTGCCCGCTCTGACCTCTGGTGCCAGCCCACTGCATGGCCTTGGACCAGCCCTGCTCTGGGGACCCTCAGTTTCCCCCTCTCTCAGGCATGGGGGTGGGGTGAGGAGGGCCCAGGGAGTGGGGGAAACTGCGTGACCTCGGTCGGGGCAAAGCCAGTGCCGCCCCGACCCTGCTCCTCCCGACCCTGCCGACCCCGCCCATCTGCGAACCGCAGGCGGCCAGGCGGCAGTACTCCCAGGAGAGCGTGCTGTCCTTCACCACGTAGCACCAGGGCCTCTCGTCCTTGTCTGGGTTCCTGGACGCAGGGGAGTCGCAGGGCCCCTCAGTGGCGGTGGGGCTCCTGACGTCCCCAGCAGCGCTCGCTCATTCTGCAGATGGTTCTGTTCCTCAGCCCACACTCCTCTCACTGGGACAGCCGCCCAGCAATGGGGGTCAGGACCCCAGGGACAGGCCTGGTCAGGAAGACCTCCCCCCAGGACAGACCCTGCCCGCCCTGGAGGAGGTGGCCTAGAGCGGGCTGGGCTGGTGCTGACCGGCAGTAAGCGTGGGGACCCAGGCCGAGCAGGGCCGCGGCGCCCACGGAGTCCGCGTGCAGCTCCTGGTAGAGCAGGTCGGAGTTCCAGGCCAGGCAGCTGAGGCCCGAGGCTGCCGTGCCTGCCACGCCTCGGTAGTCGGTGCCGCTCCCCCGGAAGCAGTGCTGGGCGGGCGCTGGGGGCGGGACCGCATGCAGTGAGCCTGGGCCCCAGACGCAGGCCCGGAGGCCGGCCCACGCAGCTCCAGAGGCTGAGCGACTCACCAATGTCACAGAGCCGCCCGGTGTGGCCCGGGGGGCAGGCACACACGGTGGTCCCGGTGGCCACAATCAGGTGGCAGGTGCCCCCATTCAAGCATGGGCTGCTCAGGCAAGCTGGGGCAGGGCTCAGAAGCTAGGCCTTGGGCCTCAGGGGTGGGATCAGCACCCGGTCCCACCCCTGGTGCCCATCACCGGGTGGCCCTGGACCAGCCCCTTCCCCTGGGTTGGGAGGGCCAGTGACGTTGCCCCGCCCTACCCAAGCCACGCGTACCTGTGTGGCGGGAGCCCTCGCACCGAACCTGGCCCCCCGCACACGTGCACTGTTCCACTCGGCCCTGGTGCACGTGGGCCCAGCGATCGCCTTCCTCCAGGTACTCATGGTGGCTTTCATCAAAGCATTTCTCTGGGGGTGGCACAGTGAGTCCCTGCTCCCGGCATGGGGCAGTGCCCTCCTGCCCTGCAGCCCCGTGGTCCTGCGGCCCCACTCACCCGTGCCACAGTCCTTGCCCGTGAAGGCCACGGGGCAGGTGCAGTGGTACGACTCAGGGCCCTGGGTGCTCGAGCACAAGCCCCCGTTAAGACAGGGGACAGAGGCACAGGGGTCCAGGGTAGCTGGGGACACGCAGGAGGGAGGGGTGCGTCTGAGAGCCCAGGCAGTCTTTGTGCCCCAACCCCACGCCGTGACTCTCCCTGCTTGCCATGGGCCCACAGTCCTGCCGTCGAGCCTGCTGCCTTAAAGCTGCTCCTTCTGGGTTCCTTGTGATGTGCGTGCTCTGGGAGGGGATACAGACCTCCCCCTCCTCGCCACAAGCCCTGCCCAGCACTCAGACCCTGGGCAAGTGGGCTTCTGGCTCAGCACCAGGCACCCTGAAAGCCCGACCCCACCCCCCAGCAGATAGCAGGGTCCCTTCTGAGTGCCCTGGGACCCTTAAAGCAGGGCTGCCAGCACTACACTCTGCAAACCACCGGGCCCTTCCCTTGTCCAGGGCTCTTCCCATGTGGCCACAGGGCCCAGCTTGACCACCAGGGGGCACCTTGGACCCAGCAATGGCCAAAGCAGCTAGCTGTAGGGCCCCTGGAGAGGGCAGGGTCCTTGGGCGGGGTGAGGGGGGTGGTGTTTCCCTCTCCCGCAGTCCCCCAGGCTGATGACTCCTCCAGCCCCTGAGGCCTGCAGTAGGATCAACCCCTAAGTCCCCTCCTGTATTCCAGGCAGGACCCCCCCACCTCCCCCAGTCAGCTCTGATGCCCCCCCAAGCTCAGCCCCGCCCAGCCCCGCCCCCTTGTAGCCTGGGCTCAGGCCCCACACCCCGGGGCACCCACCTGGGCCCTCCCGCGGCGGGGAGGTCTGCACACAATAGCCCCAGGCCCTGTCCCGGTCATAGTTGTGAGTCGTGGCACACCTGGGGGTGGTGCGTGCCATGATGTGGGGGTCCCAGGCCAGAGACCTGTCCATTCCAAACCCGACTCACACAGGGCACCCCTCTGACAACTCTGGAGCTCTCTCCCGTTCATTCATTCATTCATTCATTCACGACACCTGCTGTGTGCCAGGCTTGGTCTGGAATAGGGAGGGCAGAGGGGGGAGGGTCTCCAGGGTGGACACAGGGCAGGGGACCAGGACCCACCACTTCCTGTGGGCACTTCCCTCCGAAGTGCAGGAGTGGAGCATGCGGCCGCCGTAGCGGAAGGGGAACCTGCAGGGCTGCCCGGCCTCGGTGAGCACTGCTGGGAAGGCACAGGGGTCAAGGGCTCCTGCGCTGGGTGCTGCCTGACCCCCATCACATGCCCCACTCCCCAGGGGCTGCCCATGTTCCTCCAGAAACCCTCCCCCGCATCTAGGTGTAGCCTGCCACCTCCTCCAGGAAGCCCTCCTGACCCACCTGTGCCCCCAGGGCTGCTGTTGGAGGGGGCTGCCCTGGACAACGGGCTAAGCTCCCCACCATGGGGTCCCTCTGCCTTTGGAGCTCTCATGGCTGGGATTCTGGGGGTCCCCGAGGTTACAGGGATGATAGGAGTCTCAGAAGTCACTGTGGTACTTTGTTCTGGGGGTTCCGTTTGGTTCTAGAAGAGCCGAGAGGTTGTGATGGGGTCAGTGTGGGATGGGCACCCTGCACACTCAGGCCCTGCCAGTGGGCTGATGGCAGCCCCGGGCCTCTGCTTCCATATGGGGGCCCTCAGGTCTTGAAGCAGGGAACAGGGGACACTGGCTGTCCCAAGGCCTCAGCTGGGCCCTGTGCCCCCGACCCTCCCAGAGCCCAAGGAGTCAGACTGAGCTGACTCGGGATCTGCCAGGCCAGCACCATCGCCCTCCAGGCTCACACTCTGGGGGCCTGTTCTGGGGACAGACAAGACCAGCTGTGAGGCTCTCAGAGGCCCCCTGCCCCCCACATCGAACACTTGGCCCCAGCAGAGGCCCAGAGAGAGGGGAACAGCCCACATCCCTGGGTGGAGGTCCAGCAAATTGTACCCCCAGCCCCTGTCCCCTAGGCCAGCCCAGCACGCCCAGCTTGCCCCCTGGCCGGCTTCCACCCACTCCACGCCCCTGCCCGGGCCTCAGCCCTAGGACCTGGGGTGGGCCCAGGAGCCCATGGTCACAGTGCGGTCGGGGCAGTGCTCACCCTGCCCACCTGGGGCTGAGCCCCGCGAGGCACCAGCAGCAGCAGCAGCAGCAGGGGCAGCCCAGGTAGGGGGCAGGGGCTGGGGACCCAGGCCCAGCTCCCCATGGCTCCTCCTGAACTGGCGGGAGGAGCAACAGGCAGAAGCAGAGCAGCCAGGGCAGGTGGGGGTCAAGGCCACCTAGAAATGATTAACCCCAGCTGCCGCCCATGCCAGGCCCACATGTCCCCTACATCTGCTGCCCAGCTCACCCTGCCTGACCTAGCTGTCCCCTCTGGCCTCAGCCATGCTGGTCCTGAACCTTACAGTGTCTTCGAGTCTCAGCTTAGAAGCCTCCTCCAGGAAGTCTTCCAGGGTTACATGGCAGGAAGCGGTCTGGACTCCCAGCCCCAGCTTCTGATTCCCACCTGGGTGCAGGGCTGGCCACTAATTGTTCACAACCAGAGCAGTTACAGGTGCTGAGCCCTTCGGAGGGCCGGGCCTGGAGGATGGAGTGGCCCCTGGCCAGCAAAAGGCCAGGCACAGAGAAGAGGGTGTGTACACCGGCTGAGTATCACAAACAACGTCCGCAGGATAGGCACATCTGCCGCCTTCTCCACAGTGCTTCTGCCTGTCCCCTCCCAGGATGAGCTGGGTGGGACCTCCTATGGGAGTAGAGCCCCGTCTGCTGCCCTAGCTCAGGGGTGCCCAGGAGTACCCCCCACGCCATTGCTCCCCAACCCCCGGCCCCAGGACTCCCATGGCCCTGGGCTTCCTCGTCACAGCCTGGACCACCTGTGCCGTCCCCTCAATCTGTCCCACTCTGCCTGGCATCCCATCCCAAGCCCTGGCCAGGCACCTAGGGGCCACCCAGGGATGCAGAGGCCTGGCTTGGGGGTCCTACCTAGGTCTGGATGTGCCTTGCTCCACATGTCTGTGAATGGGGATGGGGTATTGCCCCCTGGACACGGCTGCAGTCATCCCCGACCCAGCCCTAGAGTTCATGACTGGGGCTGTGGACAGAGCTATTGTGGGAACCTCTTCTGTGATTTCCAAGTGGCCACGGAGGTGGGGGTTCCCTGGGCCCCCACTAGTCAGCTCCACTGCCTGCACGGGGACACTGCAGCTGCCTCACTGGTCACAATCCCTCTGGGTCCCTATTTCCCCGTCTGTGTAGACGGAGGGAGTGCAGAAGCTGAGCAGGGCCCCAGCTTGGCATGCAGTGGGTGCTGGGCCCCTCCCTTCCATTCAGACGCCTCCCCTGGGCCCCTGCTCAGCACACAGCTCCCCGGAAGCATCCAGAACAAACTCTGCGGCCTGGGGCACTCATGCTGAAGGCCCTCTCTGAGAAGCCTGACATGTGTGACAAGACTGCCCCCCAACTCAGAGGAGGAAGGAGTGCAGGCGGCCCTCAGCTCTTAGTGTTGGGGTTCCACCGTGGCACCTGGGCCAGAGCGCCATCTCTGTCCGCTACAACCCAGCACCCTGCCATGGCCCTGCCTGCTGGCCTGCCTGCCACCCCGGCCCCTCCTGACTCGCTCAAGCCTCAGGGCCTTTGCACAGGCTGAGGCTCTTCCCCACCCCTCCTCAGCGGGGCAGTCAGGTTTCCCCTGAGATGTCCCTCCATGGACAAGCCCTGCCACACCACCCCTCTAAATGCGGCCAAGGGCGAAAGGACAGGGCAGGGTGGCCTAGACGACCCCCAGGGCAAGCCCTGCCCCCACCGGCAGCCACGCCGGGGAGGAGAGCCTGCACTGACCTGCGGGACGTGGTGCGAGTGGGCAAGCCCGGGCCTTGACCCGGCAGAGCCATGTCCCGCTGCCTGCAGGCTAGGCCTTTCCTGTCAGGTCGGCCTTCTTCCTTTGCCACCTTTGACTTCACCACCCAGAGCCCCTTTTCTCCCCGCCCCTCTTCCGATGCATGCACGCGCCCCATGGGGGCACGGCTCTCCGAGGGCGGGGTCTGCGCCCAGTTCCCAGCACGAGGCCGACGCTCCAGGTCCTCAAAGACACTTTATTGAGGGAAGGCCGGACGCCGAGTGGCGGCAGCAGGCAGGCGCCGAGCGGCCCTCTGGGCCAACCTTGGCGATTGTCCGAGCCCGGGCCCCTCCGCCCTCTCCTGGTTCGGCTCTCGAAGGCGTGGTGGCCGAGGAGGCCCAGGCGGGTGTAGGCTGCCCCCAAGGGATCCTGTTCTCCACGTGTACGGCCAGCAGGGCAGCTCAGGCACAGGGGCAGGAGGGGTGGCCTTCAGGGACAGGTCCGCAGGCAGCCTCAGACGAAGGTTGCGTGGTGTGGGCTGGCCTTGGGCTTAGCAGGCCCACCCCGGACAGGACTCAGGCCAGGGTGGTCTGACGTTGAGGCCCTGCTGGCCCGTGATCTCCGGGGGCCTGTCCGTACCCCTGGAATGCTGCTGCCCAGCCCAGAAGCTGAGCCAGTGACACGGTCCACGTCGATGATCGAGTTGACCTGGGGGCCTCGGCTGCTTCGGGCCCCACCTCCTGTCACAGGGAGAAGAGAGAGGCTGTCACCTGTTGGCCCGCCCTGGGCTCTGGAAGCTGCCCACCCCCCTCCTCCCACAGGTGCTGTCAAGGGGTTCCTGAAGCACCCAGATGCGTCCCAGGGGCAGGCAGCCTCCAACCTCGGGCCCCTCAGCCTGGCGCAGGCGTGTGGAGAGGGTGGGCCAGCAGCATGGCTGGCTGCAGGCTGCCAGCCTTGAGCCTCTGGTTACACAAGCCGGCGGCCCCTCCTGGGCCCCACCGTGTGCCCAGCAGTGGGGCGCCCTCTGCAGACACCCCATGCAACGAGGAGGGTCCGGTCCAGTCAGGACAGAGGGGGATGGCTCACCAACTTGGGCGCCGTCTGCCCAGCCAGGTCTCCCCTTGGGGGAGCTCAAAACTGAGTCAGCACCTGAGCCCCGGCAATGCCCCAGAGGCCACCCCACCTCCTCCTGACCCTCCCCAGGGGCGTCAGGGTGACTGAGCTGCCCTCCTGGGGGCTGTGAGTGGGGGCTATGCACCCGGTGTGGGCTGCGTTGCAGGAATGAGGGCTCCATGCCTGGGGGTGGGGGAGGGGCTGGGATAAGAGGTCCCAGGTCCCTCAGAGGGACGCAGTTGCCTCTGGGGTGGGGTTTGGGCACCTGGGAGCAGGGTGTGGGAACTTCTCACGAGAGCCCCCAGCCCCACCTCACCCATGCCCAGCAGGCCCCGTGCGGCCCATCCACCCCACCCCCACTGCGGCTCAGGAACAGAGCTGGGCCCCCTTCGCTCCTCCACAGGGGGCTGTCTGCAGAGGCAGTAAGTGGCGTGAGACCCTCTGTCATGACAGGTTACAGGGGCACCCCTTTCTGGGCTTGTGGGGAGGACCAGGGCCCTCACCAGGCCCCTCGGTCTCCACCCACAGGCCTCACTAACAGGCCCCTTGGAAGGCTGTAGCTCCCAGGCCAGGGTAAGGCAGAGCCTGGGCCAGGCCTCCAGCCCCCCAGGGCCCTCTTACCCCACCAGTGCGGTGGCCCACCTGCCTGATGCCTGGGCCCACATCCTCCGCCTCCCAGACTCTGAATCCTCCCCAGGCCCTCCTCCACACAGTCCAGCCCCACCGCCAACACCACGAGCCAAGTGCCCCTTCCTCCACCCCAGCCCCTCTTCCAGGTCCTCAGTGGTCGGCCAGGCCTCTGCCTCCAAGCCCCCACCTCACCCCCAGGAATTCCCAGGCTGCCTGAAACTGCCCTGGAAGCTTCTAGACCCTGGGGTGGTCAGCCTCACCTCCCTGCCCACCACCCCCAGGAGGCCCATCTGTCTCAGAGCCATCACTGCTCTGGTCCCAGGTGGGGCCCCTGGAGGACAGAGGTGCAGCCCCCAGGACCCAGTGAAGGGAGGGCGCAGGGGGGCCTGGCAGGTGCCCACAGCCTCAGTCCCTCAGTGTGCTCCTCAGGCCACTCCCAGAACAGCGCCGCCTGGGTTAGGACCACGGGCGGGGTGCCAGGCCCTAGTCTGTCCAGGTGTGGGCGGGAGCCCAGAATACCTGGGGGGTGTCCTCGGTGAGCCTGGCTCCCAGGACCCTCAGGCGCCTGTGGGGGGCCCAGCCATGGCCCCCAGGGACACGGCGTCCTGCCACTGGCTGCCCCTCCCTGGGTGTCAGCTGCCTGGTCTTGCTGGTGGAGGTGAAGGCCCTGCTCCCTCCATGGGTCCGAGGCCTACAAGCGAAATTGAGGACAACCATGGGGGTCAGGAGCTGCTTCGGGGCCCCTAGCACCCCTGAGGAGAGTCTCAGCCTGCAGGCCGAGGCCCGTGGTCCCCTCTGACCTAACCGGACCAAATCTGTCCGAGGCCCGGCAGAAGGGCCTCTCACCCGCTTCCTTCCCCAGCGCGTACGCACCGGGGCCTCACACAGGGCTGCTCAGGCCACGTGGGTCCTATTGGGCAGGTCCAATGGCTGTGGAGCAGTGGGAGGGGTTTTCAGGAAAAGCTGCCTCTTTTGAGTTCCAAGGGTCCACATGAACAGCTGTGACTAGAAGCTTCTTCCAGGCAGTCCTTTAGTCATTCAACAAACATCCTGCTAAGGCCTGCCGGGACCTACCCTGTCCCCTGCTTGTTGCTAGGTTCTGAGGCCCAGGAGATGATGGGGTGGGGCTGGTCTTCCCTTGAATTCCAGGCCATGTGGAGAGTCAGGGCTTTGCCCCTCAATTGTTTGTCCCCATTTGGGGCATCTGTCTGGAGCATTCAGAGGCCTGCAGTCCCATGTGTGTTCAGGGTCACGGCCCTCTCCTGTCCTGCCCCTTTGGACTCCTGGGAAGACAGAGGCCTGCAGGAGACGGGGACAGCTCAGTGGGCTCAGGATGGCGAGGGACGCCTGCTTCTGGGGACAGGAGGCTTGCCCACAGGCTAATTACCTGCATGTCACAGGGAGGGTGGCAGCGGTCCAGGCCCTTCCTGCCTGCCCACCCACACTTGCTCTCCTGAGGAAGTGGCATACCCAAGCTGGTGACTTAGTAGCAGGGCCCAACCCCGTGCAGCAGGCGGGTGTCACGGCCTCTCAGGCTGCCCTGATTATTTGGGGGCCTCATGCCACACTGACACAGTGTCCAGTGTCCCCAAAGACGTGTCCAGTTAGCAGAGCAGTGGGGAGCCCTCAGCCCACTTCGCAGCCGTTATGGTAGCTCTCCCGCTCGCTTGCCCACGGCCCACCTGCCAGGGGTCGCTGTAACCTAGTAACTTGGTTTCCATGGGAATGAGGGGAGCCCTCTGCAGACACCCCATGCAATGAGGAGGGTCCAGTCCAGTTGGGACAGTGGGGATGGCTCACCCACTTGGAAGCCGTCCACCCAGCCAGGGTTCCCCTTGGGGGAGCTCAAGACACCACAGACCCTACCCCTCTGGCAGACCAAATTCTGTGGTTCTGACTCTCTGGAGCCCCCATCATAATCGGGACCTCAAAGGTCCCTCCCAAGAGCCTGGACACCTCACTTTACTGAGGGGATTGGCCCTAAAGGCTCCAAGTTGGGAGAAGGTGGAGGTCCAGTCAGGGCCCTCCTCTTGGGGACAGCAGGGTACAGGGCTGCACTGGTGGTGGAGCCAGGACGGGGGCATGGCTTGACCCCTCGGCCACCTCTGGCTCTCTCTCAGGATCCAGCCTCAACCCCACGGTCCCTCCTGCCCCCAGAGAGAGCCACAGTCTAGCCTCAGCCTCCAGCCCTTCTGGGCCATCCCAAGGCCTCTGCTGGCCCTGGGCCCCCCATCTCACTCTGCCTGCCTCCATGGAGACTGACTGGGTACCCCTGAGAAAGCTTGAGGACGGCCCGACCAAAGTCCTGTTCCTGCTCGTGACACGCACGAGGTCTCCCGCCATTCGGTCTCCAGCTCAGACTGTGCTGAACCCCTCCTCATGCAGCAGATCGGTCCTGAGCACCTACTGGGGGCCAGGACTCCAGCACACAAGGGGTGGGTGGCAACTTGGATGTCCTGAGGCCTCTCTGAGTGCAGGCTTGCAGGTGGGGATGAGGGGTGGGGGGCTGGAAGGTCACGCTGCCAGCCACTGGTGGCCCGTGGCTTCCACTCTGAGGGGCCCAGAGGTCAGGTGGAGCAGACCAACGGCGAGGCATGTGGGGAAGACAGAAGAGGGGGATGGACAGAGGATGGACGGGCAACAGGAGACCCAGGGCCGTTGGCCTGAGTGGCCAGGAGGATGGAGTAGTCAGAACTTCGGCCAGGGGTCTGGGGCAGGGGTGCTGGGCCAGCCCGGTCAGCCTGAGAGGACTGTGGAGTGGCCAGGCTGGCCCAGGAGCTCCCAGGCACTAGCAGGAGAAGGTCCACGCAGCTCCGGCCAGGCCAGGGCCAGGCCAGGGCACAAGAACACACTGCTGGAAAGGGCGTTCTGGAGAGCGCCCCTGCAGAGGCCGCCCTCCTGGGACTTCCGTGTCCCAGGAAAGCAGGCAGCCACTCCAGGTCACATCACAGTTTGTGCTGGGGAGGCTGGCTGGCTGCCCCAGAAAGCAGGTGTGCACGGGAGGCGCGTCCCCCGGCCACCCAGACAGAAGGGCCAGGCCTCTACTGGAGAGAGGGGACATCTGAGTGGACAAGTGCAAACGTGGCGGGAGTGGGGGTGGATACAGGGACAAGAGGCTGGACCCTGGGCTGGGGAGAGCTGCACAGCTGGCCCAGGAGCCCCGACACCCCTGGGGTCGGGCAGCTGGACCCCCTGTGGCTGTCGTCCTGTCACAGCTGGAGCCAGGCAGGCTTCCCCAGTGTCTCCAGCCCAGGGCTTCTGCCTCAGCTGGGACTGAGCAGGTGTGACACACGGAGACCGTCGCTGGGGTCCAGGCTGGGGGAGTGGCTGGGCACTGGGCAGCCCGGTGCAGATCGGCTCCCAGGACTCATGGCCACACCAAGGGCATGTGGTCTGGGCACTTTTCCTGCCAAGGTAAAAGGTGTGGCCCTGGAGTGGGCATGTGGCCTCTGGTTAACACTAGCCCCGTTCCCATGGAAACCAGGTTGCTAGGCTACAACGACCCCTGGCAGGTGGGCTGTGGGCGAGTGAGCAGGAGAGCTACCGTAACTGCTGCCAGGGGGCTGAGGGCTCCCCACTGCTCTGCTAACTGGACACATCTCTGGGGACCCTGGACACTGTCAGTGTGGCATGAGGCCCCCAAATTGGCTGACTTCTGCCCCACCCAGTGAGCAGCATGTCCTCGTGCTGGGCCCCCGGGGACCCAGGCCAGGACGGATCCCTTGCGAGTGCTCCTAGGGGAGGGCTGGACGGGCACTGCGGTAGCCACAGGGCCAGCTGAGGACGGGGGCAGGGAGCCCAGCTGGCCTGTGGGCCCCCCGAGAGTCTGGCCTCCTGGAGGGGCTGAGGGACTCTGGGCCGGGACCCGGACCCAGGCCCCCAGTGCCAGCACAGCCAGGTGCCTGGGTGAGGGGCTGAGACGGCGGTGGAGGGGTGGAGGGATGGAGGGCCCAGCCACTGGACTGAGGAAGGGGCAGTTAGGGAGAGAAATCTCCAAACCTAGGGCCCAGGGAAGGGCTCCAGACACCCCCTGGAGCAGACTTCTCCCAGACCCCACATGGTAAGGCCCGCACCCTGGGGTCCTGTGTCACAGCTGATCGCTCAGCCCAGGAGCCAAGATGAGGACCTGCCGGCCCGACAACACCTAGGGGTGGAGTGGGTGCTGGGCCGGGGCTTCGGTCAGCGCTGGAGACCACTCCTCAGCTGGCTCTGGACACCTTCACCCAAGACCCTGTTCAACAGACGTGCCTTCCTCCCTAGGGAGTAGCGCCGTCTGGGGGCGACTCCGACAGCCTTGCTGTGGGCACAGGCGCCTCCTCCCACTGGGCGAGCACTGCCCTCTGCACAGCCGGGGACACTGACTCAGAACCTGACTCTCGCTCTGCCGGGACCTGAGGTCCCAGCCGGTCCTCCCCAGGACAGGAACTGCCAGAGCACGCTCACCAACTCCCAGAGTTTTGTTGGAAACCAAACAGGTCAGAAGGTGGCTGGGAATTTGGACCAAATCCCCTGCAGGGAAGGTGCGCCCTACAGTACAGGCTCCATGCCGGGGCCGCGTGTCCCTCTGAAGACCACCATCTTTCAGCCACACTGGGCACTGACAGTCCTTTACATACGTGGGTGCTGAGGACTAAGGGCCAGGTGGACAGGCAGCACGGCTCCGAGGGAGACCCTCCCTGGGTGGGGGCGCACTGCTGGCAGCCTGGGGTGGGAGCCTGGGGACCCAACGGCACCATCACACGGGATGGAGGGGCCATGGCGGCCACCACACTGCTGGGCAACAGTTCATGGCAGCTGGAATTGGCGAGAGTAACTCCGGGTGAAACCCGCCTTCTGGCCCCAAGAATACGGAAGCTGGCCCGGGGGGTACGAGCAGGCTCTTCACTGGGACTAGGAACCTTGGGTGTGGTTCCCATGTCACAATGGACGTGGGGCTCATGGACCAGCGGGGGATCCATCTGGCAAGGCCGACAAGGAGGCTGTCCCCCAGGGGCCTCGTGGGACAAGCAGATGCTGCACAGAAGGACACGTGGCCCAGGCTCTTCCCAGCTCCAGAGGGACACTGGGCAGATCACAGGCCCTCATGGCTCCTTGGCACCTGCCTCACTGGCCTGTGCCCAAGTGCCTCTCCGTCCTCCCTGTTCGGGACAGCTGGGAGCCAAGTGTCCAGGGTCCCCAACTCCTTGGGGGGCTAGGGGTTGGTAGTGGCTGTGGAACTGGTCCCTGTCAGCGGTCAGGAGGAGCCCTCAGGGCTCCGGGTTTCCACCCCACAGAGACTAGTACACGGAGAGCGACGCACTTGGGAAAGACAGGGACCCCCAGGCACACTGCCCATGCAGATGGGCATGCAGGGGGAAGGCTGAGCACACCCTGGGTGAACAGCGTGGGCCCGACACACTCAGAGCAGAACGTGGAGCCGGAGGAGCTGGGTGGGGCTGACGGAAGACTGACAGCAGGCAGCCAGCACACCTCAACCCTGGGTTCACGGCGAACGAGCCAAGAGAATCCAGCCTGGCTGCCTCACCCACCCCCTCCTGGCACCCCTTCCTCTGCCTGGAGGCCCGATGCCGATGCCGGCTCTTGGGGCGGGGGCCTCCCGTGGGGCCCACGGGAGGGGCTCGGGAGCGTTTGCTGAGTGAATGGTAGATCTCTGAAAGCCAGTGTGTTCAAGTAAACCCAGTGACTCCCACACACAAAAAACGTGCAATACTTTCCCTGGATTAAGATACCCTTATTGTTTTTCTAAAGTGGAAACAAAGTTTCAAATGAGAAAGGAGAGAGTTTTAAACCAGTCCGGTGATGAGATCTAGAGTTTATTTCTCCGGGAAGAACAGATTCCAAACACAGGTGAAAACTACACACAGGAGTCTACAAAGAAGAGCAGGACAGGACAGCCAGGCCGCGGCGCAGGCCGTGCGGGGCGGCGCGCGCGGGAGGCTGCGGCTTCGCCCGCTCCGCGTCCGCGCGCCGTCCCAGCGGGAAGGCGCCCGCCCCACGCAGCGCCCGCCCTCCACAGCGCCAGGTGCGCACGTGCGTACGACCGTGCGGAGACCAGCACCGCCTTGGGTCCCCACGGAGACGCAGTTGCAGGTCTGACAGGACCCAGCCCCGGGGCAGGACTCTGAGTGCCGGCGGCATCCTGACCGGGGCCTTCCTGCCGCTCCCAACAGCGGTTCATGACCTAGAGCGTCCGCGCATCACGGGGCACGCCGGGGACACCGGCAGCCTCCAGGGCCCTGTGGACACGCACGTGGACAAGGCTCCTCGCCTACACCGCGGGACCAGGGATGCAGGGACACTGGCGGTGGCCTCAAGCCCCTTCCAGGAGGCCGGGGCCTCGCTTCACCTGCCAACACTCGTGCTTCTGGGGAATGGCTCCGCCGCCAGCCGTGCTGCCTGCCTTCTCATGCTAAGTTCATGCTTCCACCTGGAGGGACACCTGTGACTGGCCGGGTCAGGGAACCCCATGGGGCCCCGGTGCCTGGGCACGCATGCTGTCTGACCAGCAGGCGGAGGGTGGCCAGCCCTCCCTGTGTACGGACTGTAGGCCAGTCCTCCCGTTGTCATTCACATGGGGCTTCATGCACTTGCTCCAAACACTTTTTTCAGTCTTGAGATCAAAATACTGAAAGTGCTAGCTATCAGAAATTTTAAAGTAACACATACATTTTCAGAAATCCCCAGGGCCTTGCTTGGTGGTGTTCCCGGACCCAGGACTGAGGAGGAGGCAGCAGAGACAGTGCCACTGTGCCCGGTGTGGGCACCGCCTCGAGCCCCGCTCCATGGTGGGACACCCCCTCCGGGCCCCTCAGCACCCACCCCGCCCACTCTCGAACCTCAGCAGCTGCCGAGTCCCTTCAGAAAAGGCAGATGCAGCCACGACAAACAGTAACCGGGGAAGAGGCCACGTGAAGCCTCCCGAGAGCTTATGGGGCCAAGGGCTAACCTACCACAGCTGTTTCTTTTTTATTGGAAACTGGGTGAACAACACAAGGTGGACAACACGGGGTGGGCGACACCAGGCGGGCAGGGAGCAGCAGAGTCACAGGGGGGCAGGGGTGTCACACTGGGAGGTACCTGGTCTCGCAGGCCCCGCCGAGTTCCACGGGGCAGGGGGTGGCGGCAGGAAGGTGCTGTTGGGGCTGTTGATGTCTCCCTCCCCCGTGAGCGTCAGGTCAGCCACATGCTCGCCCTCCACGGTCTGGACGTCCCCGGCCTCTGCTTCCTGCACCGGGGGGCTGGGGGTCCCGGGGGCACAGAAGGGCGCGCTGTCCGCAGAGCCAGGGCTGGTGGCTGGGCTTTCTCGGCAGTCCCAGGCAGGCCCCTGTGGCTCCTGGGGCCCGGGAGCCCTCTCCTTGCCGTGGCCTGTTATGGGTCTCTGGCCGAAGGCCTTGGCGGAGGCCAAGGATGGGGTGAGCTCCGTAGGGCTGGGGGGCAGACGCAGGAACTCAGGCAGCACCAGGTCCTCCTTCCTCAGCAGCCCGCGCTGGTCGTCTGCTCTGTTGCTCTGAGCTTTGGAAATGAGCTCAAAAAACTCTACGGAAGAAAACCCACATTGACTAAGTTTTAGAGAGTCTACCGTCTGACACATGCAGCCAAATGCACGTCTAGAAAGCTCAGTCCCGCTGCCCAGGCCTCCTCACTCCTGTCTGTACCTGCAGAGCTGCAGGGACACTCTCTCTGCTCCTTCCTGAAGTCAAGCTGCCTGAAGCCCAGACTGAGAACCTGGCCCAACTGGACCAACCCTGCGCCGACGGGTTTCAGCAGCACATCTCTGGTGCCACATGATTCCTGGCTCTCTTCTGAGGATTACAGACGCCACTGGCCAGACACTACGGCCTGAAAGACCCAGGACGTGCCCCAGCCTGGAGCCCGGAGCTGGTGAACCAGCCTTGGCCAATGTGAAGGATGCCCGGGTTGTGTCACCACGACCCGGGGGCCTCTGGGGGTCACCACCCTTCAGAATAGGGTGGTCCAGATGGGGCCTGAGACTGGCGTCCAGCCCTGAAGGCCGGACCCCTCTGTCCACACTGGGGGCCCCATGGCCCCGGGCCCCTCCCGGGCGGCCTCGGGTGGCCTGCTCTGTAGCTCCTGCTTTGCTGGCTTCCAGAGCTCTTCTTTTTCCCACCTGGGCGGATTCCCAGTCGTAACTCGAGTTCACCGTGCAAAGTCGATGGTGGCTACACTGACTTTTTTCTAGTCTTTAATGACAATCTTAGTTTCTGAACAAGGAGTTTAAAAATCTCAAATCTCGCTGGCTTTCAGAAAGGCGCCAACTGCAGACAGCTGTGTGTGTTACTCCCGCCTGATGTTGGCCGTCACAGGGAACCGTGACAGCCCAGCAGACCAGGATGTGCTCCCTGGGTCAAAGCTCAGGTCACGGGAACAGCTCAGTTTCAAGTCAGTTCTCAAGCTTGTCTTTGTTATAAGCTTTCGGAAGCAAAGGAAGTTTCCAGCACCCTCCCTCTCTGTCTCCTGGTGCATCCTTCCTCCCCTGCGGGCAAGGAAGAAGCGCAGGTGGCCAGCCCCACAGGCTAACACAGCCTTTCCCCTGGGCCTCTGGCCAGCAGAGGACAGCCAACCCTGGGCCCTCCTGCCTGCCACCTTCTGGTGAGGACCCTCAGTGACAAGGACCCTGATCCCCGAGCCTCCCTCTGAGCCAAGGACCTGGCTGTGGGGAGGAGACAGACGGAGGACCCACACGGGACTCCTGACTCCTAAGGGGCCTGGCTCTCAGCCTGAAACTGGAGTCCTTGTAAAGTCACACTGACAGCTGAAGACTGACGGGGGACAAATTCTCAGTGTGACAGGGATCACAGCCACCCTGATGTCAGTAACACAGGGCAAGTTCCAACGATCACATGGAAACCTGACATTGCATTCACTAAAAACGTGGAAGTTTTAGAAAGTACACCTACCCTCTGCTTCGTCCAAATTAATTTTCTGAAATTTTTTTTTCCCAATCTTTGCAATAGATTCTTCTCTCTTTGAAAGCCGGGGATCCCTAGCATTCTTCCCATTTTCTCCTTTTATTTTAATAGAATTAGACTTGCCTAGTGTTCTCTCCTCTCCCTGTGTTAGAAGGAAAGTCAAAGTTCTACTCACATTTCAGACACATGACAACACACAGTTCATCAGTGATATAACAAAGGGCTTTGAAACGTAGATTGCATTGATTTGGACTTAAAACGTGTTGCAGGAAAGTCAACCACAACGATGACGGTTAAAAAAGAACAGCACGTCAGGCACCCCCCACCCCGCACCCCCCAGGCCAGTGGGCGGAGGCGGCACGAAGGGACCACGAGAAGAGCCCCACCTGGCCCACCGCCCTGGATGCGAGCCCAGCCCGACCCGAGGCGCAGAGGGCCACTGGGGCCGCGGGCTGGCGGGGCTGGCGGGGCTGGCGGGCCACCCGCCCGGAGCGTCGCGTCGCAGGGGAGGGGCGGGGGGGCGGGCAGAGGGCAGTTACCGTAGCCGACTGGCTTCTGGAACTGGTGCTGGCAGATGTGCTCTGTTTGACTGGCACACTTTTCTGTTTATCTGTGGACACTGAACACAGTGAGATAAGCTTTCTAACTGCAGTGAGCGCAAGTCCACCTCAGCACTGAACATAATCAGGTTTCTATGTCTTTAAGAGGAAAGCGGGACAGAAGCCAAAGGTGTGAGATAGTGGCCCCTTATCTACATGGACGCGGGGCCCGGGGACAGAGGACCGCCCTCGTCCGCCTGCCGCGTCTGGCAGGAGCGGAGCGAGGGTGACGTGGAGAGGGCTCGCGGTTTGCAGGTTTACTGGGCCTTTGTGGTCATGAGGTGAATGAAAGCTCATTCGGATACTGTTTGGCTCGAATGTCTTTAGAAAGCAGACGAGTTTCACACTACGTATTTTCAGATATAGCCATTGCCCCGAGTCGGGGCCGCAGGCCGGCCCCAGTGGCCCTCACGGTCCAAAGACGCCTCTCTGGCCCAGAGAGGCCTGGCGGAATCACAGCACTCCTGCCTGCGAGCGGCGTCACAGTCGCTGCCTGCGCGGGCCGGCAGCTGCGCCGTCAGACTCACCTGCGCGCAAACAGGCCAGGAGGTCCGGCCGCGTCGGGCCCGAGGGAGGCACTGAGCGCCTGCGCCCTGTGCGGGCCGCTCACCCTCTGTGGTGGCTACCAGGCCTGGGGGGAGAGCGCACGGCCTTCTCCAGAACCCAGATGGGCCCAGAGGGGCAGGAGCAGCAGGCACTGGAGCCCCGAGGGCAGAGGGACCACCACGGTCTGGGTCACCAGCAGGGATGGAGGCAGGTGACTGACTGGTGCCCCATTTCAGGGCTGAGCCAGCTCGCTCGGCCAAAGCCTGGGAAAGGGAGGGGGCAGCCCCACGTGGCCCACAGCAGCCCTGACACGGCCACCTCCTCGCCTCACTCAGCAAGCTCCAGAAAGCTCTCTCTCCAGGAGACACGCCCCCGCCACCCTCCACCTGGGAGAGGCTGAGCGCTCCCAGAGGTGCAGGTCCCGAGGCTGCAGGGCCTGACTGAGCCCCAGCTGCCAGGCTGCTGCCCCAAGGCCAGGCTCTGGGCTGTAGGGACCGCCATGTCCCCGGGGCAGCGCTGTCATGGCTGAGGCAGCGTGCGGGAAAGGGCTCTGGAAACCACCCGATTCCACACACAAGGCACAATGGGACCTCCATCACCACCCAGGCTCCCACCTCAGCTACTGCTGGGCCGAGGCCGGGCAGCACTGCCCTGGGGTCCCCTGTCCCTGGAGCAGAGGGATGATGAGGCCTCCCAGGAACCAGGCACGCTGGAATCAAGGAGCAGCCCCGGGGGTTCCGCAGGGCCTGTCGCCCCTCCTTACGGTTGAGAAGACACCCTCAGGAGGCCCCAGCACGAGGCCCTCGCACTCCCGGTCCCAGTGCCTCCTGCCCAAAGTCAGGGCCTGGACTCGTCTAGGCCCCTAGGGTTGAGCTCGGCCCTGGCAGGGGGTCGCCAGGCCCGAGAGATGCTAAACCCCAGTGGCACCGCCTGGGCTGTCGCTCTGGGAGCTCAGGGCAGGAGCGGGCGCTTCCCGGGAGGCAGAGTCCAGGGGCCCGGCAGCATGACCCTGCTCACCTTTCCCTCGGGAGGGGTCCTTCTCCTCCAAGATGACCCGCTGTCCGTCCAGACTTGAGATGGGGGCTCCCAGGTCCAGGGGCTCCTTCTCTCCGTTCTAGAGGCAGAGAAGGTACAATGAGTAACCACCCAGCTGGAACTTTCCAGAACAACCGTATGTGGTCCATCTGCTGACAGCAAGACCTCCCCAGACTTAATGGAATCACACACCAGGTGACCCCAAGTCCTGTCACCTCAGCAGGGCTGGCTGCAGACTCCTGACATGGAACAACCAGCGCTGGCTGGCCTGCCTGGAATGCTGGCCCTAGAAACCCACGGGGACCAGACTGCCACTCAAGTGACGGCCACTGGCTGCACTCGGCCACGTCGAAGGTCCAGGGGTGAAAGACATGCAGCAGATGCTACAAACACCTGCGTCCACAAGCCTGGGGTGGTCAGCGAAGGTGGCCCAAGTCTCAGCACGACTCCCCACCGGGATGCGGTGGCCCTGAAGCCCTCCGTGGCCTTCAACATGCCAGGAGGCAAGTGCGGGGGCAGGTGCCTCCCTGTGGGTGGGAAGCAGGTGGGCCCGAGGCCAGGGGTCCTGCCCTCCTCTCCTGGGGAGGCTCCCTTACTGTTCAAGGTCCACAGCCTATGTTGAAAAAAGCATCTGAACTTGTGGTTTGGCTCCAAAATTCCCTGTAAGTCAGAACTATACGGTGACCAAATGCCCAGTGGGGGCTCTGGCTGAGTGAGGACCAGACCAAGGCTGGCAGGGTACTGCCTGCTCAGACTTCCTGGCCTCGGGAGGTCACAGTTCACTGAAGAGGGTCAGCAGGTGTGTCCAAGGAGAGCCACGTCCTCACAGCCCAACCTCAAGGACCCTCCACACCGCCCTCGCCAGTTCCCCAGCCCCGAGCCCCCAGGTGGCTGGACTGCTCTTCCGGATCAGGCTTCACCAGCCAGCCTTCAGGACCGGACACTCCTACATGACCACAGAGCACGTGTCTATGACCCGCCCTCCTTTTCAGTTAGGGAAACAGGCCCCGGGGGTTGGGGGATCACTTGCGATCTGACATGATCAGAGTAGGGAATGTGTCCCTCTCTGTCCGGGACACTCTGGACTCTAGGATGGCACCCCTACCCCCAGCCCCAATGAGCTGGGAGGGGGCTTCACGTCACTCTCGGGGTGTCCGAAACAGCTGAGCACAGTCCTCTCACTCACGTCAAAGCTCGTGAACAATTTTGGAGCCCGTTTCAGAGAAAACTAAAATCCTAAAACTACTTGAAATCATAGCTCTGATAGAGAATATTTTCTAAAGAAGGAACACAGGCAAGTGTGTCATAAATCACCACGTTTCGCAGCAAATGTGTAGCACGTGCCGGGACCCAGCAGGGACCAGCAGACACGGGGCCCAGCTCTCCGAGCCTGCGGCTCTAGGCATCTCCCTACGGACCCCCTCTGGTTGCGGGACAGAGACTCTGGTCTTGTCCCCTATGAACTCATTCACCGAGTAACCCGGGGGCCTGGCGTGGCAACGCTGGAGAGCACTAGCTCTGCGGCGTGGAGGCTGGAAGCGGGACAGACCCCAGCGGGGGCCCGACAGCGGGTTGGGCAGGTGGGGCAGGCGTCACCGCGCTCCGCCATCGGCTCAGATTTGCAAATGCTGAGAGGCTGGAGAGTTTTCATGTATTTGTTTCTCCTCCTTGTTTCCCTGGGCCAAAAGCCCCAAATCTCAGGTATCAACCCAAACCCCAGTAGGAACCACCAAGGCATGAAAAAACAACAAGCGTCTCCACCGAAGGGCATGGGAGCAGAGGGCCACGGGGCCGCCTCCCGCCCGGCCTGCCAGAAGGAGGGCTGCTGACAGGCCCCGGTGTGTCCTTGGTCCCACTGGTCACAGCGCACTTCGTGGACAGCTGGGCGCACACTGGGTCCCCGCAGGCAGCACTGAGCTGCAGCTGCAGCACGGCGGGCCTTGCGTCACTCACCAGCCGGGCCACCAGCTCGCTCAGGCGCAGACCGTACTTGGCCGCCACGGGCCTCAGCACCTCCGTGACGGGCTTGCTGGGCTTGGCCTTGAGTCCCACGGACCGGTTAATCGGCACCAGATCCAGCCTGGTGGGAGGGGAGAAACGGGCACATCTGCTATGGACCTACGACAACTGTCTCGTAGACATTACGTCTTGAGAGCAGAGCTGTGTGGCACCCCTGGGGTCCCCGAGTCGTCCCCAGGTTCTGCACGAGAAGAGAGCCTGCAGGGTTTTCTCCAAGGCCTGGTGGGGCTGAGCTGGGGCGGCCACACAGGCCAAGAGCAGGCCCCTCCCCACGGGACGGCCCGAGCTCCGCATCCAGCCTGCCCGCCACCCTGGTCATACACGGGCGGGGAGAGTGCGCCTCTGGCCCCCGGGCTGTGAGCGGCTGCCTCCTACCAAGCTCAGGACGAGGGCGCCAGCAGCCCCTCCCAGCAGAGCAGAGGCCTGTGGAGGGGTCACCAGAAGCAGCCGTGTGGCTCTGGAAACCTCACAGAAATGACAGTTGCATTTTTTCTTACCGAAATAAAGTGCGTTTTTCTAGGCGCAGGTCCCTGGACTCCAAGATACTGCTGTCCTGATGCAGCACCAGAGGCTTTGGGACATGTGAAGGAACAGAGAGGGACATCAGGGGAGCCAGGGTGCCCCCCGCACCCACAGCGTGCAGCGCAGATAGCTGCACGGAACAGCCCTACCGGCCCAGGGCGAGAGAAGGCTCCCAGCCGTCCACTGCTCGTCCACAGAGGGCCCCGCACAGCCCGACCCACCCCCCACCCCCCAGATGGCCTCCAGCAGGCGCACTGCTCAGAGAAGGAGCACAGAGTCCGGCCCAGCAGATTCACTAAAACAAACAGACTAGCCGGTCCTCCCATCCCATCGGCAGGCTCTCCCACGGGCAGGACCCTGGGCAGGAGAGGCCCAGGTCTACACAGCCTTACCTTGTCCCCGCCCACCAGGAAGAGGTCCACGGCGGCCCCGTTGATTCCCTGTCGCTCGCAGAGCCCGGACAGGACCTCTTTGATGGAGAGCCCTTCCCTGACGGGCACCATGCAAGACGTCCCATCGGGCAGCTGGATGCTGCAGTGCTTGGTGGCCTTGTCCCTCTCGGGCCCCAGGGTCCTGCAGGCCTCTGGCTGGGGGGCAGGGAGAGAGGTGGCGGGTGCAGGGTCAGAAGAACGAAGTGCCAAGGCGCCCGGGGAGGCTATGGTAGCTTCCAGACACCTGGGGAGGCCCCCCGTGTGCCTCCCCGTCCACACCCACACCCGCTCTGAGAATTCAGAATCCTGTGGAGCTTCTGGGTTAACACCAGAGACAGCAATTCTCTCTCTCTCTCTCTCTCTCTCAACTCCAGGCACCATATTTACAGTTTTACTCTCCAGTCTCTTGGTCTAAACACTAAGGGCTGCACTTAACTAGCTTCCCTACTCAGAACAGGGAGGGCCCCTCACACTGCTGTTCTCGGGTCTGGTCTCGGCCTCCCTGACGCACAAGCACGTGGAGTCACCCTGTGGAGCCCACTGAGGCCGCACGGTCACCGTGGGCTGCCTCTGCCCACCTCTCAGTCTGCAGGGCCAGGGACCCAGGAGGCAGGCTGGTCCGCACCCTGAGGGCCTGAGGCCCACCCTCTGCTGCTTCTGGTCATCTTTCTGGATCCTTCGGTCTGACCTTTTGGGACCGGAGGCCTTCCCAAGAAGGATGGTCAGCCTGAGGGAGGGGCTGGGAGAGGGGAGATGCGGCCCTCAGAGGCTCAGAGGCAGGAACACACCTGCAGGATGGGGAGCAGATGGGGCGGGAGAGACAGCTGTTCGGGAGCACCAGGGACCAAGCCTTGCCAGACGGCAGCACCTGCAACCTGACTTTCTGCATTGCTGGTGGACTGAGTCAGGGGCTGGAGGACAGCTCCTAAGGCACCTCCCCAGCCTCACCCCAGGCAGGGCTCCAGGTGGGCAGGAGCTGGACCGAGGGGCCAGCCCGCAGCTACACTCCCTGTGCAAACCTTTTGGTCTCTCCCGATGCCTCCTCTGGGTCTCAAGTTACAGCATCCTTTCCCCGCTAGAAATAGCTCCCTGCCACATCCTGCTGACATACAGCTTGCCCTGGCTGTCACTTCCGATGGTCCGAAAATCTTTCACCCAAATGGTACTTTGGAAAACTAGTCTGTGGTGGTAGATTGACTGCAAAATGGCCCCAAATCTCCTCTTTCCACAGACGCAAGTACAGTCATAAATGTTCTTTGTTTTTAGCTGCTGAGCTTTGGGGTAGTTTGTTAGGCAGCAGTAGCTAACTGACACATGGTAAGCTCGTCCAGCCTTAACTGTTATTTGGGGAAATAATATTCTACATTAAATACTGCTTGGCAATTTCCAGTGACCAGGATGCTGGCGGTAGTAAGGTTTTCCAAAATTGGTATCAGACAACAGCTAACCAGCTAGCCGGTCAGCCCAACGTCTCCCCACTTCCTCCACCTCGCTAGACATTGGGACCAGACGAGCAGTTTAGAAGGGTGTGAGGAGAGGGCACGGGGCAGGCCAGGATCTGGGCTCCCCCACAGGCAGGGGCCAGGCTGGGGGAGGACTCGCAGAAGCAGACCCTGGGGCGTCGAGCTGACGGGTGTTCAAATGCTGAGACAAAGACGGAGCACCTGCTGGCTCCTGGTGGGCGTCCAAAGAGACAGCGACTGAATGAGAACAAAAGATCTCAAAAATAGGCCCAGAAGTATTTTTAGGACTCAGGGGGCACCCCTCCCCATCTATCAAATGGCTCCTCTCAGATCCCACGAACCCCAGTGGGGAAGAGCCTGGGTGGAGCCCCAGACCCCACATTCCTGAGGGACATGACTCTCGTGCCCAGAGGCTGGCGGGCCCAGTGAATCAGCTGTGGCCTCAGGGACTCACCAGGTCCAGGCTCCCGGCAGAGGACACGGAGCCCTGCGACTCCCTGCGGCCCAGGCCTCCATTGGCGTGCAGGGGGTCTAGAAGGGGAAAGGGTCGCTCAGAAAGGCGAACAGCACCCACTTCACCTGTGCTCACTTAACACAAAAACCCACGCATGTGGTCACTGCTCCCAACTCCCACCCCATCAGGCTGAGCACACTTACACAGAGGACAGAAGCCAGGCTTGGAAAGGCCCCTGCACGGCCTCACCTCCCAGACCCACCGCTTGGCCCACAGCTGGAGCCAGGGGGCCGGGAGCGCCGCCCAGACCTGCTGTCCACTCGGCCCACGGCCGCGGCAGCTCAAAACACGAGTGGGCGCTCTGGTGCAGGGCCGCCCTGCGCTTCACTTCATCTGGAATTGTTATCTCAGCACACGGCTTCTGGGCCCAAGAGGAGGGCAGTAAACAGGACAGCGGCCACAGCACCGCTATCTGCAGCTCATTTCCCATCTCCCACGAGTGCAAAGTAAGCCCACAGTCACCGCATCCCTTGTCACCAAGTGTTCCCATTGCAATCCCAACATCACGACGACTCTGCTCCAGCAGGGCCCACCGCCAGTCACACTGCTGTGCAGGGGGCCTGGGGGCCACGCAGGGGGGCCTGATTAGACGGCAGCTCCCAGGTCCCACTGACCCTCCAAACTACCAGCCCATCTTTCAAAAGCAACAGACAGCCAGGCGACCATGTCAGAACTCCTGGGGAGTGCCCTGGAGTCAGGATTTAAAGCCCTTTCCAGACAGTCTCTAAAGATCTGCTAGGTATGGGAACCCCAGCCTCCTGCTCAGGGGCACAGACATAAAGAGGCAGTTGCTCCCCTGTCTCTGGTCCTCGGGGGGGGGGTCCCTGGTCCCTATGCCCCGCTCCCGTCCCCCAGTCCTGCCTGCCTTCCCTGTGGAAGAACACCTGCTCTGACCGCCCACAGCATGACCCCGGAGCGGGAGGGCACCGGCACCAAGCCCCCAGCCCTGAGCCGCCTTCTGTAAGATGGGCACGAGCCCTACCGTGCAGTCTGCTCCCAGGGGGAGAGGAGATATAAACTCTACAAACCACCGCCTCCCACCTCCTCCTCAGGCCTCCTGTCCGAGACCCCTCAATAAACCGCCCAGTTTAAACCTGGCGGCCCAGGCCGGGAGACTGCAGGTTACTCCTTGGAAAATAATCACCCTCTTGAATCTCTAGGGAAAAAACTCTTTCCAGTTGCTGCCCCCCACTTAGGCTTCCCACGCCTGCGGTGAGCACCGTCATCTTTCTCTGCCCACCCCTTCCCTGCGCCAGCCCAGCCAGCGTCTGCAACCAGCAAAGGGCCCCCGAGGCCCCTCCCCGGGCTGGGGCTGAGCCCGCGCCTCGCACCGCCTTCTCGGCCACACACACGAAGGACACCAAGGGAGGAGACCTCCAGCACAGCCACCTCCAGACTCACAGTAAAGAATGTGATTTGGGGACACTCGACGCTCAAACTACCATGTCACATTGTCTTTACAAACTTACAAAGGCTCGTGCACCCCTGCACGTGGCAGAAAACAAGCAAAAACCCCAAAGACTTCGGCAGGCAAGAAGCTGTCTGGGTGGACAGACGGCAGGACTCTGCATTTTCTTCTTTTTACCTGGTTGTGTTTTCCAGATTCTCTGCCCAGAGCGCCTATTACTGCTGGAGCAGGAGTAGGGGAGAGCGGCCGCCACTGGGGGCCCAGGCCTGGGGCTGGGATGCACCGCGCCCTGCTTCCCGGCCGTCCTGCCCCACAGGCCACCGAAGAGGCACGAGCTGCCCTGGGGGCACGGCCCACACCCCCTCACTCGTCCCCGCGACAGCCTCGCCCCGACCCCGCCTGCGCAACACAAACCACCAACCATTTGGACGGTCGCCGTGGTCCTTCTTCTTCTGGGAGCGCCCAGTGCTCCTGGTCCTGGACCAAGAGAAAAACGCGCCTTTCCGCTTCTTCTCACTGTCCTCGTCCCCCAGCTCCTCATTCAGGGAGCGTCCTGATTTTGATTTTCCACTCAGCTGCCATCAAACGGAAAACACGGTTAATTTACCACCACCCTGGATGAGAAGGGAGGCCAGAGGGGGCTGCCTAGGCCCGTTCTCCGCGGGAGGGGTCAGGCCTTCGAGGCCAGAGATGCAGCCCCAACAGCCTCCCCAAGACAGCAGCTGGAGCCTCCCACCCAGACTGCAGCCTCAGACAAGATGCATCTGAAGGTCCAAGCCCAAGAGGTCCGTCACTCCCCGTGAGTTAAGGGATAAACCAGCACGGTGTCTGCTGTCCCTTCCCCAGAACAGCCCTCATCGGGTGAGACCAGCGCGACGGAGCGGGGCACCTTCTTTGGCGTGGACACGTTTGAGTGGTCCGAGCCGACGCTGTGCTTGGAGGCAGGGCTGCTGGGGACCTGCTGTGCGTCAGGCAGTGAGCGGCCCTCCACCTCGGCCAGGATGCACTCTTGGTACAGCTGGGACTTCAGGAAGCGCGTGTAGCTGTCGAACTTCATCAGGTTGAAGATCTGCGGGAAAAACGCAGCTGCGGTCCAGGGTCCAGTCCCAGACGGGGCCAGACACCCAGCCCGCGGTGAAGAGTCACACGGGGCCCGTACACGCCAGCCGGGCCCATTCTGAAAGCCCGCTCTCTCCCCAGAGTTACTTTCTGGGTCCTTTATGTCTGATTTCTTTCCCATAACACACCAGCCCTGGTTTATCATGCTTACAATCAGCCAATTCCAACAGCCTGTCAAAGCCCACATCACGGGTGGGCCCAGCACAACCAGCGGCCATACTGGGGCATCTTAACTTCGTTAAATCAGAATGAAACCGAAAGCAACTGGAAATCTAAAGGAAGTGAGAACTGCCCTGAAAATACTGTTTTGTTTTGTTTTGTCTTAATTATTAACAGTACTCATATGACTCGGCAACAGAAGTAACCTCTGGTAAAAACCATTAGGGTCCATGCACGCTTTTTATCACAGAGATGTCCTAAAGCTGAAAAAAAAAAATCCAACCCTCTATCTTCCTCTACAGACGCCCCTGCCCACGAATCTGCAACCTCACACACAGGCATGTGGAGAAGTGTCACCAGACAGGGACTTCCTGCTTCACGGCCTGGCTGAACCCTGGCTCTGGGACAGAAGCCCACTCTCCCGTCAGTCTGGCGCCCACGGGGGGCTGCTCTCTGGGACCCGAGTCCCCTCCCCACCCCGGGAGTCACCTGAAGCTGCTGCTCCTTGAACATGTCGGGGTGAGGGGCACGGAGGATGTCGTCCGCCAGCTGGGCCTGGCTGTCGATGTTGACTGGAGTGGTCGCTTTGCTGCTCAGGAACTTACTGAAGATCTCGCGGGCCCTGTAGGAGAGCTGCCGGGACACGTGTGTGAGCGGACGCGCAGACCACAAACAGCACGTGTGTTCTGCCTGTTTCACGGCTGTACTCCAAATGCCCAGCACAGCTCCAGGCACTGGAGGTACATTCTCTTGGGGCCCAATAGATACTTCCTGCTGGAGTTACAGATAAAAGTTCCAGCCAATATGAAACTCTTCAGTAAATCAGCTCCCCTCCCAATTTTCTCAAAGGGCAATCTGAATGTACCAAAGGCCTGGCCGTGCTGCAGCGGGGGACGGCAGGGGTGGTGTGGCAGGGCGGGGGGGCGAGGTTGGGGCGGCACTGAGTGTGGCGAGGAGACAAGATGCCTCCTCTGAGGGGACCGCAGGCCGCACGGCCTCCAGCCGGGGCTCGCCGTCACCCAGGGCCGCGAGGGCGAGCAGGGCGGACGGGTATTCTCAGGGTGCTCTTCCACCCAGAATCTGCTCCTGCACCCCCTCAGCACACTGAGCAGCAGCACGTCTGCTGATGAAAGCTCTACGGCCGAAGGCATTTCTGCAAGCTCTGTTTAGGCAAAATTAAATACCATATATATTAAGAAACTTAGTCTGAAAAAGAAATTTTTTCATGGTGTGAAAATATTTTTACATGGACTTTTCAAACTGCACTAGGTGTGAAGCTGTGATGAAATCACCCTGCCCTCAGCCACCCCCACTCCCCGGCCTGAAGAAACATACCTCTTTTTTGTCGTGTGCAGGAACATGACTAAAATACTCGCAGGCCTGCCAGAATAAAATGTTTTCTTCACTGAACTCTTTCCTTAGAAAATCCTAAGAAAAACACCGGCAATCAGCCTTCACACAGCCCTCAGAAAAGGGCGAACCGGTAATGGCTGAGGGCCCTCCCTCCTCTCGACCTCTGCCGATTCCTTCATTCCCACTTTTTTCTCTTTACCGCCTTTCACCGAAACCAGAGGTCACAAGCGCGTCTCCAGAATTCCCCCAAAAGACGAACTGAAAAGCTGCCCACGCTGAGGACCACTTTGGCGCACACGGCCGCTTTCTCGGGAGCCGAGCATCCCTTCCTAACAGCTGCCCTTGCTGACAGGTAGCCCTTCCCAGCATTTACAAGAAGCTCCGCCCCCTTGGCCTCAAGCGCCTAGGGCAGGCGCAAGAGCAGGAGGAGACACAGGCCCTGCCCTGACCTGAGGTCTGAACCAGAGCGGGCCCGGGTCCTGCCAGAGGAAGGGACCATCACCCATCGTACTCACGGAGAAGTATCGCACGCCCAGCGGGTCCTGCAGAAGACGCTCGAAGGACACGGCCCAGCTGGCAACCCTCCGCTCGCGCAGGCGCCGGCAGCTCTGCACACTGGGGAGGCTGGCATTGCTGCTCAGGCTGTGGTTGCTCACACAGTCCTTCAGGTCGGCGCCGCTCAGCTCTGTGGGGCCAGCACAGACCTCACTCACCTGCGGGTGTGTCCTCCACACCCGCCCGCGGGGCTGGCCGGGCCTCACCAAGCTGTCTTCTCTAGAACTTGCGATCGGCCCAAGAACAGTGCACGCCCACACCGTGGCCCCGTCGTCCCAGGTACAGGGCAGAGCATGGAACAAGACCGGACCTGGATGCTGACGGCCCCCGACAAGGATGCTTGGCACAGATCGCGGCTGGCTGGGCCGCGGGCACAACCGGGAGCACCAGGTGAGCCCACCTGAGGTCAGGGGCCGCTGGGAGTCAGGGCCAGGTGACCCACAGGGCAAGCAGAGGGACAGGGGCACCGGTGGGGTTCCCAGGGCCTGGGGAAGCTGCCTCGTCAGGATGGGAATCTCGCACTCACATCCCTGTACTTCCCTGCACGCGACCAGTCTCACGCCCGGGCCAGCGTGAGTGCAACCGCGAGCCAGCGTGACGACTAGAGGGCGGCCGCCCCTCGTGGAAAACACACGCTCCCGGGGTGTGCTCCCAAGCCGGCCGCAAACAGCACTAAGGAGCCTTCGGTTCCACTGTCTTGTAAACAAGCTCTGGAAAGATCCGTCTCCCTTCACACAGAGACGGGGGTACTCGGGACCCCTGTCGCCCTCCCATGAGCAGGCCCCCTCACAGCAGGGTGGGCAGGCCTGGCCATGGAAGCCTAGGGCCGGAACCAGCGGCCGGACATTCTGCCGAGGACAGGCCCCTTCTGTGAGAGCCCAGGGGACACGGGACAGGGACGGCCAAACCTGCACTGGGGCGGGGCACAGGCTCTGCTGGCTGAGCGTGGCTGCCCGGTGGAAGTACCAGGCTCACAAGCCCCGTTCTGCTCTCTCACCCGGGCTCGCGGGGAGGAGTCGGGTGGACTAGTTAACCGGCTCCGGCTCTTGGCCAGCCGCTTCCAATGCGTCCTATTAGTGACAGGGGACCGGGGTGGGGAGACCAGGACAGGTCAGTGACCCAGCACAAAGCCCCGTGGGGACAGAGGCAACGCAAAGTGGCGATCAAGCCCGTCTACAGTGCAGGATGGCGGGCAGAGGCTGGCCTGCAGCCACGGCCCCCAGGAGATGGGCCTTCAGGGGACCAGACAGCTCAGCTGGGAACCCGAGCAAGTGTCTCAGCAGAAGCCACTGCTGCAGGAATCACTCAAAGCTCAGAAAGCGCGTGGATGAGAAAAGAAAGAGAAGGTCAGAGAGTGACCACGTCACCCCAACTGCTGTGAAAAAAGCTAGAACAAGATTAAAAAGAAGCTGCATAAGATCAGAGAAGGACAGTATGAACTTTGCTTTGAGGCTCACTAGACCCCACCTGCCGTATGTGATCTGTGAGAGAAACACTCGTGACGGAACCCGCCTCCGGGTCAGAAGGGAGGCACCAGCCCCGAGTCCACCGCGCGACACACACGCGGTCGCTAAACCTGAACCACGGCCCCCGCTCAGTGATCGAGGACGAGGGTCCAGGTGAGGCTATGGGCCCAGCCACCCGGCCACCACGTACACAGAACCATCTGGAAACGCCTTGCTTAGACTCCACACAAAACTTCCCACGAGGAAAGCCCCCCACACACACACTCTCCTTCCCTCTCCCCCCGGGGCTCTGGTCCGGGAAGGGGCCTCCCTCTCGTCTGGTTTGTGTCCGGCCCCTGGGGCACCAGGGGCTCCACACCACAGACATTCATCCTCCCTGAAGTCACACATGGTCCGATACACTTCCCAACAGACGCTTCACTCGAACTGGACAAGCTGAGTCTAAACTGAGCTCACGTGGAAAGCTACACATGAAATGCCGGGAAACTACACACAACAGAGCAACGAGGCCGGGCCAGCCCTGCCCGTCACAGCATGTCACCGACCCGAGTCCTGAACACAGTGGGGCAGCGGCACCGGTGCAGAAACAGACACGCTACTGGGAAAACTGGACAACCATCTGAAAAACAGCCAAGTCAGGTCCCTCCCAATACACACGGAATTAAATCCCACATGGACCAAAGATGTAAATGTGAAACATGAAATTAGCAGAACGCAACAGGAAAACACGGGCTCGCTTTCTGCCGTGCCTGAGTGGGGCGAGCAGCAGGCACACACCCGGAGCCGCGAGGCAGGACTGCGAGCATGGGCGCAGCGGGAGGGTGGGAGTCCGGGGGCAGAGGGGCCGGTGTTTGGGCCTCCATTACGAGCGCAGTGAGTCCGGGGACGTCCTCAGGTGGCACAGCGCGGTGACCACGTTAATGACGCTGTGGTGCACGTTTGAAAGCTGCTGACAGAGTGGACTTTAAAAGTTCCCACCACAAGAAAAAAACTGACTGCAGTGAGGGATGTTAACTGGTCTTACTGTGGTGGCCATTTTCAATATATACACGTTTTGAATCGTTAGGTTGGCATGCCTCAAACTAATATAATGTATGTCAACTACACCTCAACAAACAAAATAAAATCTCTGTATGTCAAAAAACACTGTAAGTTAAACCAAAAGACAAGAAACAGAAAATCCATGTAACGTCACACAGATGAAGGACTGACTTTCCTTCTAGTTAAGAGCAGCTCCAGAGCAGTAAGAGAAAGGCCATAAAACCAAAGGCAGTGGGAGAAGAGTGTGGACAGTCGCCAAGTGGGGCTCAAGACGGTGCCACCCTGGAGAGACCCACCCCAAGCTAAACTGAATGTACACTAAGCACCAGCGTCAGGAGCGGGGGGGTCTGAGCAGAGGTGTGAGCTCTCCTGCTCCACTTCATGCCGACAAATGGGGTGATCTTCACAAAATAGTCTATTTTAAAGACATCCTGTAAAGTGTGAGCACAGAACATTTTTCCTTCAGCTTTTTTCCCTTGAGGGAATGATGGTCTGAGAGCTGAGGGAAGAACAGAAGTTAACCGACCTCAGAAAAGTGGGAAAAGTGTTCCAGGACAGGTTGAGTACGTGCAAAGGCCCTGTGGCAGAAGAAAGCCAGCTCACACCTGTGTGGCTGGGCTGTAGGGCCAGAGTGCTGAGGAGCAGGGCCAGCAGGGCCAGGTGGTGGGTGCCAAGCAATGGAGATTTTACCCTGGAGGACAGAGATTAACAAGGGAATGTCAAGAAGGCACCTTTGTCCTTCTCGGGCCCCTCTGGCTGCATGTGGAGGGAGGTCCTGAGCTCTGCCAGGCGGAGGTCCAGCTGCAGGTGCTGGTGGCCTGGACTGTGAGGGCTGCAGGGGCAGTGGGGAGGTGCAAAGAGGAAGACTGGCTCCAACTGCATAAGACACAGTAGCTGAACCCCATCAAGGATGTTGGAGCTTTGATTTCTCAAACAAAAGGTATCTGGACTCCAATGTGCAGCAAGCACCATGATGTAGATTGTCTGCCTCCCTTGCAGCTAGTGCAGGAAGGACACGGGAGCGGCTGGGGAGCGGCTGGTGGAGGCGGCAGGCTTCCCACCCAGACCACCGTGCCTGCCCAGAGCTCACAACCTCCTGGCACGGCCATCACGCCCCCAGCGCTGGGGGAGGATGGCTGTGCATTTGCGGAACAACCCGTGAACGGAAGAATGAGCGCTGATTGACATTTTAAGGAAAGACAGCCTGTCTACTAACTCATGCTTGTAAGAGCTGACAAATGTAAATTAGTTTTTAAGACTCACAAATCAACAACTGACACTTTAAAAGTCTACTCAAGAAGGAAGCTATAAAATATATATATAAAAAAAGGGGACCCCCCCCCGGCCCCTGGGTGTGTGCTGTGCGGGTCAGGGGCCACAGCACATTCTGAGGTCTGCCATTACTGACGCCCCGGTGGGTGCAGGGCAGTTCCTGTCTTGGGGTCTTAGGGGCACCAAGGTTGCGCATAGGGGCCAGGCCACACTGTCTGAGTCTGAGGCCTCAGCCATCTCACTTCACGACAGCCAGATCTCTGGGAACCCGCACACTCTCCCCAGTGAGAAAGTCAGAGACAGTTTTACTGCTGCAAAAAGCAGGTCAGCACAGAGCTCTTGTCATCGGGAGACCTCCTGATAATCGGAGGTGGCGGATTCTTGCAGACAACCGTGTGGAGCCATGTGGCGGGTGCAGAGCCCCTGGGAGAGCGACAAAATCTTAGCTCTTCCGCGTGTCCACGACACGCATGGGAAGTCACCTGGGCCTTGATATCCACTGTCAAATTCTTAGTATCATAATTCACACCACCTTTAAACTCACCCTGGAACTGCTCTCGACTCATGGAAAATAGTGCACATTTCTGGAAGGACTGACCTTGAACACTGAGATGAAACTCCTCCAAACGCAGAATTCCTACCCCAGTCCAAGGCCAGAACAGGTGACGGGACGAGCCGCACTGCGCGCAACTCACCGCCTGATTCTCTCCTGGGTGCCAGGAGTTTGGGTGGAACCGTGCACTCGGCCTCCAGCCAAAGGAGAAGACACTCACAGGAGACGCCCTGTCCCCCCACCCCACCCCCCACAGCTCCGCTCTAGGGGGCGCCCCTGGCTTCTGCTGTCATTCTTGGGTTTGTTTGTTTTTCATTTCTTTCAATTCGCCAGTTTGAGTCAAAGGAATGCCTTCCTGGTGAGAAAGGTTTTGCAGTCTGGTTCAGATTTGCTGAAAACGAGAAAAGCCACCAGCTTTATACTGGCTGGACAAGCCTGTAGATTACATGTTGCAAGTAAGATTAATAAGGCCTCGGTGTTGAAGTGTTACAGACAACTCTGCAACTCGAGGCTTCAGCCCATTAGCACCTCATCAGAACGTCTCATCCAAACCACGATCGCAAGCACTCTAAACACTGAAATCGCAACTCAAGGTCGGGTTATATGAAGGGCCACGGCCTCCCGCTGACGTGCCCCCCTCAGCACACGCACCTGAGGGCCGCATCGTCTGCCTGCCCCCGCCAACCGCGACAAGGCACAGACCGGAGGGACTTTACCTGGGTAGAGCTGATAAGAGCCACTGTGATGCCATTTAACCAAACACTTCCAACCATTCACCGCAAACCACCCCTCTGAATCCATACCAGGGTCAGCCGGCACAGCTCCCGGGGCCCCGGGCAAAGGCTCGGGCCACGCACAGAGACATTGTTCCTTAGCTTACGCTCCCCAAGGAGGCAAGTTCGTGCACCCTCTCCAGGGATCCCAGGCCACAGGCTGACAAGGGTGAGGCTCTCCCTTCAGGCGCACGGAGAGGGAAGCGCTCGTACACTCGACACAAAGCACTGCAGAAGACACATTCATAATTCACAGCAGACCTGCAGCCGCTGCTGGCGACCGTGAATTATTTAGCAGGTGGAACGCAGCTCCAGAAACGGCACTCGGACGTGCAGGTGCTGAAGATGAGCCTGGGGGTCTCTGGGAATTTGTTTTCTGTGAAACTAGCAGCAGAAAAGGATGAAATAAATACTTTCAATAATAAAACCCTTATTCCCCTAGTAAAAACTTTTTTAATCCCATACACCTAAAACTTGACTCTTAATGAGAAGGTGATCACCAAACCTGCGTGGTACCAGGAAGTATTCATCAGGTAATGAGCAACTACCCAAAGCTGAGCCACTCTGAAACCATAAGGGGCATTCCGAGGTGAAAGGAGAGCACGCCCATGACTCTCGCACGGAAGCTGTATTTCCAAAAACTGGCGGGGGCTGATCCGGCTCGAGGCTGGCCCTGCTCCAGGCTCTCGCATGGACACTGCTGCAGAAACAGCTGTTACCTGGCGCCAGCTCTGTTAAAAAGATGTTTAACCGATCGCAGTGTTTTCCAAGAAAATAGTTCGAGAAAAGGGGTTACAGACGCAGCTCAGTCCCAGTGGGTCCCACCTTCCTGTCAAGGGTCCTTCTGACCTCGGGTTTCAAGGCAGCAGTGCCAGGAGGCGGAGCAGCACGCCAGGCTGTGCCGTGGGGCAGGCCCCGCCCGGGGCCCTGGGGTCGTGGTGCAGATGGCACAAGTGCAGAGGTGAACGGGGTGGAGCCCGCAGGGCGGGGCTGGTAGCGCAGCTGATACACGGGGCAGTCAGGACGCCCACCAGGCGCTGTGGGAGAATGCCACCCGTGCTGTCCTTTGGGGGCAGCTTTTATTCTGATTTAATTTCAAACTTGTAGAAAGTGACACGGTAGTAAAAGGAGCCCCCATATGCCCTCCACCCGGATTCCCTGAGCGCCTCTCTCGCCCGATTCGATGGCCTCCTCTCTCCCCTCCCCTCCCCCATCTCCTTCTCTGAACACACACACACACTTGCTCTTCCCGACTGTTTCATTAAGTTGGAGAGAGCACTCCTCTTTGTCCCTGAAGAGTCCAGTGTGTATTTCTTTGTAACCACAGCACAGCTACCAAAACTGGGGAAAGTGACGAGTGAACTGGTCCCCAAGTGAACTGATCCACCCTTCAAACTGACCAAGCCTTGAGAACACCTGCCATAAGGTCACCACAGTGGCATAATTCAGTTCTAGGGAAAACCCAGGTGGAGACTCAGGCCCCATGATGTCATTCTGGCCCTGGGTGACATGACGTGATAGGCTGCACGGGCCTGAAAAGCCTCACGCCTTGGTTTTTCTCCTTTGGGGAGAAATTAACAATTGCAGGGTTGGGGCAAGAGTACAAGTGAAGACCCTTATACCATGTATCTAAATACTGAAAAAACTTCAAAGAAACTAACACAGAGATAAATAAGGTATACTTTCTTCTCCCTTCAAACAGACTCGGAGGCCAGGTTTGAATTTAGAATTCTGGGACTTGCCCGAGTTCTGCCTTGGAAGCTGGTGGCACAGGGAAGGCTGCGTAGCCCACGGCCCACCCACACCCACCCCTCACCCTCACCCCCCGCCGCCGCCGCCTTCTCTTCCCACGCCGGCTCCATCCTCATCCTGTGCGGCTCCCAGCCCGCTGGTCACTGCCCCGCCGCACAGCAGCCGCCCTGAGAGCACTCACTTCATTCCCCAGCCGCAGGCCTGGCACGGTCTACAAATTCAAAGCAGCACGACCTTTTTCCTCAAAGAAATCGCATATGGAATCCCTGTGAGTGAGCTGGGCTGGCTAGGAAGAAGGAGGGCACAGACAAGACAGGTGGGGACAGACCTCGGGCCGCATTCTGCTTGACCTGGCAGAGCCTCGGGCAGGCTGGCCCAGCTCCTCCTTAAGGAAACATCTGCCACTAAACACAGAGACCTCTGATAATTAGAACGAACTGTTTTTGGAGCCAAACAGCACCTTCTCAGCACAGAGTCTACGAACTATTGATCTAATTCCATCAGCCCATTTTACAAAGGAAATTGCCGAAGTGTGAAGACCTTCAGTGACCTGCCCGGGCTTAGTCGGTGACGGTGCTGAGACTGTGTCCACATGCTCCACGGGGTGACCCCACGTCACCATACCTGAGTTCAGACTTCACAGCCCTGGGAGAGGCAAACTCCTCACACCCACGGAACAGCCCTCGGCGGACAGCAGCCCTCCGCACACGTCCCTGGGCCAGAAGAAATCTGAACGCTGAGAAAGGCCCGTTTATAAACTGCTCTGGCAGAGCACAGCACAACAGACTGCTGTGTCTGAAATGACACAAGTCCTTCTGCAGACGGAAATGCCAAGCAGATGGGGGGGTGCTGGAAGAACCCACGGGGCCGCGTGAGCGGGCGGCACAGCAACTGAAAAGGGCCAGTGTGGGAGGTGTGAGGCGACAAGCGGAGGGGGTGCTGTCACTTGTCACACAGAGTGTTCAGGACTTTAGCGCAGTGCTAGCAACTGACCACAAGTGGCTGGCCAGCTAACTGGCCACAGGGAGCCTCCAGGGCTCACCAAACAGGGACACAGGACACTTTTCAAAGACAGTCCTAATCAACTTCATTTATTATCCTGATTTGAATGAAAACATTTACATTATTCTCTCACCATCCCTTTGTGAAACTGGCGTATCTCACAGCAGTGACTAGAATGCACGCCCTTTATGAAGACACTCTTTGCTTCTGGTACCGGGGCCACACATGAGGTGCAGCCCCTCCAGCGGTGGCCTGGCTAGCTGTGGCCCGTCCCTGCCAGGAGGTCACCGCTCAAGGAGGACCCGAGCACCACAAACGCGGCACTCCACTAGGAAGACTCGACACCGGTGCTATAACCACGCCCACGGCCCACGCAGGAAAGCTACAGCTCGGAGCCCCACGCCCGCCCTGAGGCCGTGCGGTGGAGACCCCCCGCAGGACAGGCGCTGGCGGGCCGGCCAGCAGGGAAGGAAAGGATCGAGGGCACGAGGTCATCAAGGACGCACAGGGCGGGCACCTCCTTCCTCGGGGATGGCCCTGAAAGGCCGCTCCTGTCAGTGAAAAAGAGGTGCCCCTGAGACAAAGGAAGACTTACTTTACATGTCAGGGGTCAACTGCAACTTTTTAGCTATGGCGTTCACAAGGCTGGGATTCTGGGACAGTTACAACTTCGCAAAATTTTTTCCTTTTTTTTTCTTTTTTCTTTTTAAAATTTATTTTTTATTAAAAATTTTCTTCTTCCTCTTAACAGAGGCACTGGGGATTGATCCCAGGATCTCACACACACCAAGCGCATGCTCTACCACTGAGCTATACCCCTACCCTCCCCATCCCTGACTTTACATAATTTTAATATTGAAGATAGTATGTTAGATGTAAAACTAAACAAATGTAATATTTGTGTCTTTCACATTAATTTCCAATAAAGCAATCAAATTTAAAAGGTCATTTGTCCCAGACTGGGCTCCAAACAATCTAGTCCTCAGGCTGGTTCCTGTTCCGTGGAGGTCCTCAGCCCCAGCTCACCTGCTCCTCCTGCAGGAGGGGTGCTGATGGGGGAGGCTCCCAAAGCCCTTGCCATTGGTCTGCCTCCAGTGGGCGGGGCTAAAGGCTGCGGCGACCCAAATTGAAGTACCATCTACAGATTAACTGGTCTTCAATCTTCAAAAGTGGCATAAATGTGAAAAGCAAGGGAAGAAGGAAGAGCTGTTCTACTGAAGGAGACCAAAGAACCATGACAAGTAAAAGCAAAATGTAACCCTGAGCTGGATCCGTTTACTATGAAGACGAATAGAGTGTGGACAAGACAGTAATGCTGTGTGGGTGTTAATTCCCTCGTTTTGCTGGCTGCATTGCGGCTGCTGGGAAGCATATGCATTTGTAGGAAATACACTCTAAACTGTTCAGGGATGGTAAGGGTATCATATCAGCAACTCAATCTCAAATGGTATAGGAAAAGTTCTTTGTACTCCAGCTGCAATTTTTGAAAGGTTGATACAGTTTCAGACTGAAAAAAACTTTACATGTTGCAAAGATTAAAATTAAAATTAAAAAAGGCTGAGGTGCCCATTTGGCAGGACTGCCCTCTCCCCCTCAGCTTCCCCTGGGGATCTGTCAGGCCTGACTCTTCTGTGGAATAAGCAGATGATCAGGGCTCCACTGCACCAGCAAAGCCACCCATTCTCTGTCCTCTTCCTAAGACTGGATGGGGACGTTAAGATGAGGGAGAAGTAAGCAGGCTCACCCTCTCATTCTTATTTTTCAACAGATATCGGTTGAAGGTCTACTCCAGGGCAAGCTCTGTCCTAGGAGCCGGAGCCTCTAGCCCACCACTCTCTGGCACAGGTGTGGCAGGTGTGGCAGGTGTGGTGGTTCATGGTGCAGGTTCCAGAGTCATAACGCCTGGCTGAATCGGCCCCACTCGTCCTAGCTGGGTGAGGCCCTCACCCTTCTGTAATGCAGAAGTGATAGCCGTGTACGAACGCCACAGGGATACTGCGAGAACGCCGCTCCTCAGCAAGTCACTGCGCCTTTCCATAGAGCCGTGGTAGCAACCATATACTGGCATCACAGGAACACTGTGATGAGCAGTACCAGGCGCATGGGACGCGTTCAATAATACTGGCTGCATAAATAAATCGTGCGTTCCAAATACAAGTTAATGAAATGGCACAGGCTGAAAGGTGTATAACTTCAAATTATATATGTCTTTCAGCTTTAATGCACAATTCATGAAATATCTTCTCCTTTAAAAATTTAAACACAAATCTAAAATCCCTATAGATCATTACCTAAAATCCTGGTCCTATCTCCTCTCCCCAGAGAAAACCCATCTTATGAATGTGGTGTTGATCCTAATTTTTAATTCTTTTACCAGGATGTTCCTATCAAAACAGTTGTTTAGGAAAGCTACTACTTTTTATCTTCCTGAACTTCATTAGTTGTAAAAGCCAGGCTCAGCCGAGTGACTGGTACGCTGTGGGGTTTCTAGCTAGATGATTTAAAATTTATTTTCTTTTCTTGCCTTATAGTGTTGGCCAGAATCTCCAATATGATGTTAAATAGTTGCTAAGATACAGAACTTCTTTGTCTTGTTCCTCGCTCTAATGGGAACGTTTCTAATGCTTGACTATTAAGTATAACTTGAAAAAAAAAGTGGAACGGGTAGAAGCAGACTCACAGATACAGAGAACAAACTAATAGTCTCTAGGGAGAAGAGGGAAGGGGGAGGGGCAAGACAGGCTTAGAGGATTAAGAGGTACAAACTATTATGTATAAAATATGCTACAAAGATATACTGTACAACACAGGGAATATAGCCAATATTTTATAATAACTATAAGTGGAGTATAGCCTTTAAATATTGTGTATCAGAATACTGTACACCTGTAACCTATAAATTACTACTACTGTACATGAACTATACTTCAACTAAAAAATGGAATAGGTACTTAATTTCATCAGAATCTCCCTTAGTCTCATTATGATAATCATATAGATGTACTCTCTTAATCTATTAATACGCCCAATCTGCTTATGTACCTATGACATTCCTTTACTATACTGTAAGCCTCATGAAGGCAGGGACTTTGTTTTGTTCACCAATGTATTGCCATTGCACAGAACAGTTTTTAGAAGAAAGCAGAAGCTCAAAAAAATAATTGTTGAACAAATGAATGGTGACTTGAGGGGAAAATTCTCTAATGTTGAACTATCCTTGCATTCCTTGAATAAATCTCACTTCATAAGGATGTGTTAAGAAAAAACAGTGCTGGATTCAATTTGCTAAAATTTTATTTTGGAAGTTTCCGTATTTGTTCATAAGTTAAACTGACCAATAATTTACTTTTGTGCTGTCCTTGTCCAGTTTGGGTGTCAAGGTTATGCTGATTTTGCAAAATGAGCTGTGTAGCTTCCCATCTTCTACGCCCATGTGACAGACCATGTTACGTTCAAAATACTTGTTGCCCGTCCCTGTGGGAGGGTTATCCATGCCCTCAACAGTGACATCAGGCTTGACCCTGTGAAGTGCTTCAGCCAGTGAATGTGAAAGAACATAACGTGTCACTGCGGGGGGAGAACTGCCTGGGTCTGCCATGTCTTCCCTCTGCCAAAGACCCACAGTGTCCCACAGAGGAACTGTCTGGCTCTTGGGGTTAAAACACGCAGAACAAAACAAAGCCAAATTGTGATACACATGTAATGTAAATAAGAAAGAAATTCGGCTTTTTTAAAGCCATTAAGATTTTGGGATTATTTGTTATTGCAACATTATTTGTCTTAAGTTGACCGATATACTCACCTATACATTGGTTTGGGCATGTTGCCTTTTGAGGTGTAAATCTTTGACTTCCATATCATTTTTGCTTATGTTGATTTATCTAACCAAAGTTTCTTTTTCTTTTTAGGCCACCTGTATTTTCCTAATCATTGTCTAATTGATCTTGTAATCAGATGTATTAGTATAAAGCTATTCATAAAATTTACTTATAACTTTACTTCTCTGTCATCTTTGGTATCATCGCCTTCTTTCTTCTTATTCTTGATGTTATCTTTATCTTTTCTCTCTTTTTCTTGACTATACTTGCTAAAGACTCATTTTTTGGTTTTATTAATCAACTATATATTTTTGGTTTTGTTTTCTATTTTGTTAATTTCTGCTTTATCCTTATTATTTAACATTAATTTGCATTTATTTTGTTGTTTTTCCCCACCTTCTTATGTTGAAAACTTATTTCCTATATTTTCCAACTTTTCTTTTTTATAATATATACATATAACACTACAGAGTTTTTCCACCTTGACTATATACCACTGGAGTTAATATGTGGCATTGTAATTGTTAAACAGTTCTAAGTTGTATTATAATTTCCATTTTCATCTTCTCTTTGGCCAATGGATTATTCAGAAATATAGTTTTAAATTTTCAAAAGTATGAATTACTTCTTATTATCTTTTTGTGACTGACTTCTATTTAATTACACTGCTGTTAGTAGATGTGATCTGTATGCTATAAATGTATTTTTAATTTGTAGCAAATGCACTTCTGAAATTCAAATTCGGTAACTACTCCATGCAGCTTTGGGGAAAACAGTGTATTCTCTGTCGATTGTAAAATTACATATATATGATAAGTATATCACATATATATATTAGATTTAAGTTGTCTGTTTTGTAATTCAAATACTCTATGATCTTATTCTTTTTTTTAATCAGCTTAATGTCTTAGTTTCTGAAAAAAGTATATTATACTTTTCCCCTTAGAGTATCTGTCCACTTTTATTGTAGTTCATCTAACTTTACTTTATAATTGGGAGGCTGTATTTTTGGTGCACACTGCCTTCTTTGTTCTTTTTTTTTTATTGTTTTTTTCACTTTGAATAATTTTATCTGATGTTAATATTGCCACATGAGTTTTCTTTTTCTTAGCATCTACCTCAGAAAATAATTTCACTTAATTTTTTTTCAATCTCCCTCTCAATTTAGTTTTAAAATTGAGTTTTAAACAATCTGAATGAAGAGTTTTTCTCCTCGGATGCTCTTTCTCGCCCATTGATCCCATAGTCTTCTTCAGGACCTGTTCTGGGCTCTTTTCTCTACCTGCTCAGCCCTTCTAGGCAATCTGGTCCACCCCCGGTATCCAGCTATATTGGAAATGCAGTTAGAGCAGCAATGATAGCACTGACAATAACAGCGATATCATTTGTGTGACTCTTTATCCTGTGCCAGGTTCTAAGTGCATCACACACGCTGGTTTAGCTAATTTTCACAGTAAGTCTTCAAGATGGGGCCTAGCACCTGTTTACAGACAGAGAATGCAGGCAGCCGGCTGGCAGCAGAGGTGGGACTCGCCTCCTGCCACGCCTCCAGCTGCCTTCCAGTTCCCAGTCCTCTCGCAGGTCCCGGACGCACCCCTGCTGCACGGTCCCTGATGACCGGTGTCCCGAGGCATCAGGCTCACTGATGGACAGACAGCCCCTAAGCTCACGCCCTGGCCCAGCTGCATCTCCGCATCCTCACTCACTCTCCCAGCTCCCCACACGACATCTCCAGGCCACAGGCCCCTTGTCACTGCCCTGTTTCTGCTTCTCCTCGCCCTGCTCCCTCCCATCCCTGCCAACGCCAAGGTCGCCGTCCCGGTGAGGTGGGTCCGGGGTCCTCGCTGGCCTCACAGGCACGTGGCCTCTCCCTCCGGGTCCCCGCTACCACGGCTGGTCCTCCTCAGCGTTTTCCTGGCCCCTCCCACCCTCAAGGTCACAGCGGGCTTAACCTCAGCTCACTCCCCAGGGCCCAGCTCCATGCCGACATGCGGCCTCCGGCCGGGCCAGGCCCTGCGGCCCGGCTCCTACCTCCACCACCACCATCCCTCCCAGAAGCGCATCCTGCCATAACCCGCCAACACCCAGAGTAGGCGCGGCCTGGCTGATGTGACAGGTCACCTGACTGCAAGCCCTTGCAAAATCTGGGACGTCACAAGCTTCCACCTCCCCTTCTTTGGACAATGGAGTCTATGTGAAGGTGACACATTAGCCTGAAATAATCTCAATTAATGCTCATTTTAGACACTTACAAAGGTCAGTCATCTAAAAGAAATGGCTTTTTTTTTAAAGGCAAACAAACCAAGCCAGATTTAGTGTTTATTCCTGGGGAAATGACCTCAGGATTTTCAGACAGCAGGACAGTAAGTGGCTGCATGATGACGACCACGGAGGCACAGCTACAAAACTAGTAAACCCCAACCGTCCTCCCGCCAGCGGCCGCGCGGGCCTCGCGCTGCCGTTGCCAGCGAAGGCGTCACACAGGGTTCCTGGAGTGCCGTCTCTCGACCAGCTCAGACAGACGTGAAGACGGCTCTGGAGCTGCCAGCGACCTGCACACTGGCTGCCAGATGTATAAGAAAACACAAAAGGCCTGGAATAACCAAAGCAACGCTGAGCCCACACTGCTGGATCTCTAAACGCACCACAAAGCAACAGTCACTGAGACACAAGGTGCTGATCCAATGACAGAGCCCAGTGGAACGAAGACAGACCTGCAAATAGATGATTACCCGATAAAGGTGCTGCTTCAGTTCAGTGAGGAAAGGATTGTCTTTTCAACTAATGAAGCTGGGTCAACTGGGTCTCGGGGGGAAAATGAATCCTGTCCCCTAACTCACATCATGTTAAAAAACATCAGTTCCAGATGGTCAGAGGTCTCAGTGCGAAAGATAAAACAATGACGGTTTTACCTGCATGATCCTGGGAAGGGCAACGCCTGCTCTAAGGGGACATAAAAAGCATCCTCAGAAAGAGCAAATGATACATTGGATGAGATTAAGATTAAAAACTTTCGGTCATCAAAAGTCACTATGAAGAGAATGGCCAGGTAAGCTGCAGAGGCTCACCTGAACACACAAATCCAATGCAAGAATCATCTCCAGGATATATTTTGAAAATGTTCTACAAATCCATATGGAAAGTAGATGCTCTAATAGGAAAACAGGCAAGTCTTGTGAAGACACTTCTCAGAAGGGGACACTCAAGTGGCCAAATACACACAAAAGGTGTTCAACCCACCAGCCACCAGGGAACCGCACACTAAAACCAGAACCCAGGGCCACCCACCTCCCCAGCAGTGAACTGAGAAGAGACGGCAGGACATGCCAGGGACGTGGTGGCCAGAGCTCTCGGGCACTGCTGGCCAGTGTGTCCACTGGAGGACTGTTCCGGGGCCCCGGCCAGAGTCACTGCAGCTCAGTGTGCCCAGGAAACACCATGGCCCAGCCTGCCCAACAGGACTGGGCGCAGGTGTCCACCACTGTGACTGCAAATATCACCAACAGTAGGGTGGACATGGGAGCAGTGGGGAAAGCAGGCATCACACTCCACATGTGGCACGAGACTCACAAACCAGTGCCACGTGGCACCCAACGCGGACACTCGGTGTACATGGGGCGCGGATCGCTTCTGCAGAGTCCCCTTTGCAGACAAAACTCATGAGAGTGTCAGCGGTCAGGCTGGTGGTCAGCTCGGGCGGCAGGGCTAGTAGGGGCCGGTGACACGGGTGCGGGCCGTAGGAAAATTCCTGAGGCCACACACAGATGGCATGAGCTTCCCACGTGTCGGTTGTTCTCCAAGAAAAAGTACTCATTACTTGAAGAACAGTTCTATCACGATGCATCTCAAGTGTTTGAATAAATTGCATCATGAAACGTGAGCAGAAGAAAGGAGCAGCCTTTCTAAATTAGCATGGTTTCGTGTCAAATGTAATTTGGGGTAATTAAGTATTTAATTACACGGTTGTTAGCTACATTTCTTTCTAGATCTGTTATCTCCATTTGATATATTCAAACTGGTCACCGTGGCATCTGGGGGCCTGTCACCAGGAAGCAGGGGGGCCTGTCACAAGTGAGGGCATCCTGTGCCATGTGTCCCAAGCTGCCCATCGGCTGGCAGGCGGGGCACCGTGCACACATGGACCTGTCCGAGGGTGGGTGGGTGACCGACCCTGAAGAGCATGGGCCTGAGAGTGGAGGGACCGAGTCTGGAGCAGAGCTGGCACGGGGCACGGGCTCCACTGTCCTCACCTCCGTCTCCCGCCACCAGCAGGGCCACACAGGGAGCACGGCCAAGCCCAGCCTGGGCCGGCACCGGCCTCCCCGCATTCCAGCCACCTCCTCACAGTCAGCTCTGGAAGCTCACTCACCGCTGGTGTCAGTGACCTGGAACTCGACTGATGTGAGCTCACTGGGGAAACAGTGAGTGGTGTCAGGACTGTCAGATGTGGCTGCTCTCACAACGTCCCGTGGAAGCTTTTCAGCACCTGGGAATCCGGAGAAAGGGTCGCCCAGATTTGCTCTGGTGCAGGAACCCTCCTGGCTGCAGCTGCACAGTGACCAGCGTCCCGCGCCAACAGGAACCACACACACAGCCGTCTTCTGGAGCAGACCGCGGTGGAGGCTCAAAGAGGGGCAGGTCCCCCCGCCTCCTGGCCAACCTCCAGGCTGCCCGCCTGCAGATTGGGCTGCACCTGCTCGCGGGGCTACAGCGAGGCAGGAGTGCACGTGTGCACGGCCCTGGGAGCCCCTGCCCACAGCTGGGCGCCGTCGATACCACCAGCACCAGCACCGCAGCCTCCCTCACCCGGAGGAAGCTCACCTATAACAGTCAGCCAGCGTGCAACGATGCCTCTGGGGTTTCCCTACGTGGTGCTGGACAAGCCAGACATCCCTCCCGAAGCGGCAAGCTCTCCCAGATCCCCTCCCATCAGGGGAGGGGCACTTCCTCCGGCCCTGGGGGGTCCCTATGCTGGTTTCTGGAGGGAACTGGGGACCGTGTGGGCGGGAGACAGGCTGAGTCATGACACACAAGGAAGTCAGTAGATGAGTTTCTGGGACACTCAGGGTGCCATCTCATTGTTCATTTCTCTAGTTCATTCTGATGCTGTGACTTTTCAACTGAACACTAACCTCTCCCAGAACAGTAGGGGCATGTGAAGGCAGTCGAAGCTCACTGGGCTCCAGAGCCGGTGTGCGTCATCACGGCTGCTTCCGTGCGCTCGGTGCCGAGCTGGGCAGTGGGCGTCCTGGGGCCAGGGCTGGGGGAGAGAGCCCGACTTCTCTGGGTTGCGATGCAGCTTTTAGCTTACAGGTAATGGGAAATCACTGAAGTTCTTCGTGCAAGGGAGTGCTGTGATCTGAGTTTTGTTTTGAATTTTACAGACCATATCCTACAATTACAGTGAAAAAAACTATCACAAGAAATCTGTGTCTGGATAATGGTGTAACTGGGACAAGACTTCACCCCTGCCACGTATTCCTAGAAAGCCAGGCAAAATAGATGAAGCAGCAGCTTTCAAAAATCGGACTCTGATTCCTGATGGAAAAGAAATCAACAAGGTGAGTCCCGGATCACCCAGCCGCCCGCCAGGAGGCACTTGACAAACCGCAGCACCCAGAAGGGGAACCCAAATCAGTTACAGCCTTCTACTGAGTTGAAAAGACAGAGATGAGCATTAGCCAAGGCGAGGGTAGCTGGAATTTGCAGGTGCCAGGGGAAAAGAGCCAGTGGAGAAAGAGCTGCAGGAATCTCAGGTTGTGCACACACAGGATGCAACCCAGGAGGCCTGGCCAAGAACAGCTGGGAGCTGCAGCTGGACAGTTCCCAGGACCCACACAGGGCCGGGAGACTCCTGATCCACCAGTTCTTGCTGACATCTGCCCTTCACACACGTGGGGTCTCCCGAAGCCCCACAGGCTTAAGGAGTAGGACTAACCAAGCTTACCGTGAAAGCTGCTTTAGCCTTGCCCTGAAAAAAGCCTAAAAACCAGCTTCAGAAGGATCAAGCACCACAAGCAGCTTAGCTGTCAGTGAAAACAAACCCATACCCTTCAAAGGACGACAATGTCCTGCACCCGGTCGAAAGCCACCAGCCACGCGAAGATGCAGAAGAGCGTGGCTCATGACTGGGAGAAGGACCGGCCAGCAGAACGGACCCAGGAGCAGCAGCAAGGACGGGTCGGCAGACGGCCCTGAAGACACCTCGAGCCGCTGGAAACATGCTCACGACTTCAAATGAAAAGCATGAACACATGAGGACAGAAGTGAAGGCTATAAAAGATCCAAAGGGGCTGCTAGAGACATAAGTAAATCTCTGGAATGGACAGTTCTCAGGATGGAGCTCGCAGCATCACAGCACTGCAGAGGAGCAGAGCAGTGAACCTCAAGACAGAGCAACACGAACTACGCAGCTCGAAGTATGCGGAGGGAAAAGAGGCCGAAAAGAACAAGGCTCAGTGCCTCGCAGAGACCCTCCCGCAGTGGGAGGGGGTGAACAACGCCTGACCCCAACACACCCCAAGCAGCAGGCAGACGGTAAAACCAGCCCAAGACTCATCATCATTAAGTTGCTGAAAACCAGCGAGAAACAGAAAATCGTAAAAGCTTTCCTCTAAGGAACACCCAGGGACACGCTCCTTCCCTTTTTACAGTTTTCCCGAATCTGCACAGAAGCTGCCTAGACAGAGCCCCTGACAGAAGCCACTGAGCCCTCCCCAACCTCAGCGGTGACTTTGAGACTTTTCCCCTAAATTACTTGCCCAATTAGATTTCCAGTCCACTCTATATAATACTTTCTCTCAGCAACTTCACACATATTCTCCTGGGAGTGAACCTAATAAAAATTTCAGACTGTTCTGAAAGTCCTTAGGTGAGAAGCTTCAAACATTTAAAACAACATTAACTATTTGACTAAACTCTTTACTGACATACAATACATACAAAAAAGGGGCACAAGGCGTAAGTAAACACTCAAGCAAGCAGCTCCCAGACCAGGAGGACCCACATGGGCTGGGCTGTGGCGGGAGCTGCCGCAGGGAGACGCCCCCGGGCGGTCACAGGGCTTACTGATCAGTCCTGGCACAGGACTAAGTTCCCTAAGAAAGGTTTTCCCTCCAAAAATCAAATTTTCACTCCCCTTGGAGTGGGAAGGATACACCTACTTCCAGGCAGGGCCACTGGGGTGGAGGGGACAAGGAACAGACACAGGAGGGTCATGAAGGGGACCTCCACGGTGACCGCAATGCTCCAGGGAAAAGGGCTGAGGCAGAGATGCCCACATGTCAACAGACGCGACTTCTGAGGGGGAAAGTATGTGGTCACTCGTTTTATTTCTTTTGAACTTCTGTTTGCTTAAAAAAAATTCACAACTATAAAGACTTACTAATAAAAACTCTCTCCAAATATCTTGTAGAACTGGAAAGAAATAAGTACATTGGGAGGAATCTTGGCAGAAATCAAGCCTCCATACTTTGAAAAACTAAAATCTAAGTCTGACTAGTGTTTACAAATACTTAGTACTTCGTACCCTATAAATACACTATGTTATTCTGGGTATAATTTTTAAGTTCAAAAGCAAACCATAAAGAATGTGATACATTAAACAGACTTAAAATACAGACTTCTGACTACAATAACCCCCTCACACAGCAAATTACAAATGAACATTCCATCTTACTTTTAGCAAACATCTCTGAAAATGTGCAAACAGGCTGCACGGTTTTTCTGACGAGGAGATTTTGTGCAAATCCCATGGCACTGCTCTGAAACCTCTCCATTTCTCTTTCTCGTTCATAATTTTATAGAATGCGAATTCACTGGCCAAAAAACACTAAAAATAATAACATCTTATATTCAACAGACAGAGGCCGTTTAACTCCCCAGTTAACAGGGGTGTGACTGTCACTGTCGGGCAGTTGCTCTGAGGGCCCAGGAAGCAGTCTGCCGTGGTGCCTGCTCTCGCCTGGTGGTCCCACCAGGCAAAAGGAAGATGCGACGAGGCCTAGACTAAAGATGAAGACACAGATGGAGGGAGAACGGCATGCCGGTGGGCTTCCCCCGTGGCCCGGTCCCTGCTACCGTGAGGTGAGCTGCTCTGGGGGCAGGATGCTGGCCATGCTGGAGCTGCCCAGAGGAGCCAGCAGTTTCCAGCGAATGACCAAAGGCAGCAGGCGGCTTTCTGTGTGTTGCATTTATTCCCTCATGCAGGATGGTGTTAAAGGAGAGACCCTGCAAACCCCAGACACCTGCAGTGATAAGAGTCACTTCTGGAAACCAAGTTGACCGTGAATGTAGAGCACAAGGGAAACAGAGCCAAGAGGCAGGCCCGGATGGGGAGCGGGGGTTGGACTTGGGCAGGAGGAGGGACCCCAAGCCTGGGGGTGGGGATCAGGGACCCCACCCTGGATCTGGCCCTGACCGTGCCCACCAGGGTTCATGCGGTGTCCAGCAGGGTTGCAGATGGGCAGGACCCAGAAAGACGCTCAGCCCTGGCCAGGTGAGTGCAAACTTCTGGGAGAAGGGCCCTCCTGGGCCCTGGAGAGGGAGCAGCCAGACCCAAGACCACTCACCCCCTAGCACCAAGAGGAGTAGGTGGAAAGGGCTGGAAAGTTCTAGTCTGTGACGACCCACTTTCTTCTTCCTTTCCTGCTGAAAGTTCTATTTCCAAACAAGACAAAACAGACCTGCTCCCAGCAGCATCTCGGGTGAGTATGGGCGAGTGAAGGAGTCACAGACTCTCCTTCTTCACATCCACCACAGGCAGGGGTGGGCCAGGGGGATAAAAATCAACCACAAATTTAGCAAAAGCAGCCAAAAAAAAAAAAGAGGGCACAGTCTGATGCCAGAAGCTTCAACCAAGAAAAAGAAAAAAGCCAACAAATGATAAAAATAAAAAGGTTTTGACAGGTTCTGCATCTGACCCACCGCTGAGTCCCCATCAGTTGTCCTGGGGAAGGAAGGCACATCAACAAAACCCTGAACATTCTTCTTGAGGCGGGGTGGCAGGGCAGCTAAGGGAGGTCAAGGGGAAGCCCTGCGGGGAGAGCCCAGCTGGCACCGCGGAGGTCGGCACCAGGCGGAAGGGCGCCGGGGCTCAGCACTGCGGTCTCTCTGGGCTCAAGACGTCAGTGCCAGAAAGCCCAGTGATGAGGACCGGGGGGCTGCTGACATCCGCAGACGGGGGGGATACACTGAAAGACAGGTGGACAGATGGGCGGACAGATGGGTAGGTGGGTGGGTGGATGACAGAAGGTATATGATACGCAAAAAGCAAACACAAAGTCTGGTCTGGAAGAAGACACAGCCTAGAGAACTTCAGAAATTCTTCAAGTTCTGTGAGAGAAAGGGGCCAATGCAAAGATGATTAGACCAAGTAAGGACAAAAATCAGTACTATTACAAAATGAATAAAAAGTAAAAAAGAAGCGAGATATGTCTAAGAAGTTAAAATAATGACATAGAAAAAAGACTTTAACAACCAAACTGCTTTGAGTAGAACTGACTGACTTTCTCAAAGAAGCAGAGGCAAGCCCCGCGGGCTCTAAGACAGTCCCCTGGCAAGGGGGGGATAAGAAGCGGAGGGCCTAAACTTCCTGGCAGCCTGGCCGTCCCTGGGTGTGGGAGTTGGGTGGGAGGGGATCCTGGCAAAGCTGCTTGGTGCAAAGTAAAAAAAAAGAAAAGAAAGAAAATAGGAGAATAAACTTTTATGACAACGAAGCTGCGCTGTGCCGGACCCCAGGTGCAGGCTGCTGGAAGGCTCCCTCCCCTCAAGGCGAGGTCTCAGGCCCCCACCAAGCTTCTGCCGCTGGGGGTCTTCAGTGTGAATAATTTGCCACGGGGCAGATCAGCAGCCCTTTGAGCCTCTCTGAAGTGCCAGAATGGTCTTCCTTTCCTCAGGGCAGAATCTGCCCCCACCCAGCTCACTTGCCCCTGGCTTGCCCTCCGAGGACTGACCCCCACGCCTGCCTTCACAGGGTGGTCTCTGGCTTGGGGCCCCTCTCCCTCTGTGGGCTGGGGGGGGGCTGCACACAGGGCACCGGGCAGCCCCCCGACAGGGCAGCCCCGGAACCGACCGCACGGTGGGAACAGCTCTCATAAGAGGACAACGTGGGAGCTGAACACGGCAGTTAATGACTCCAAATGAGCTCACTGACGAGGTTAACTGAACCCAAACTATTTCTGGGTGAGCGCTTTATTAGTCACCAGGACTAGGCCGGGCGGCTCGGTGGAGGCAGGCCTAGCTGGTGAGGAGGCCGCTTCCCAGAGCTGGCTCCTGACTCACCCCGGCAGCGTAGGGCGTCCCCCTCACCCCAAGGAGCTGGCGCTGTGGGAGCTCCGGGCCCTTGGGGCCCACAATCCCCAGCCCAACACAGAGTGTGGAACATCTCGTGTGGAGAGAGACACACTCCTGGGTCCCCTCAACTAGTCTCCATCCCCCCCAGGAAGCAGGTGTCAGGACCTGGAGGGTCTGAGGCTGAATCTGGGGCTCTGGGGTGAGGTGGCGGAGGCCAGGGCCTGGCCCTGCCATCAGGCAGGCCTCAAAGTCTGAATTCCCACTTCAGCTTGGTATCTACGTGACCCTCTTTCTGCTGAGGTGCTTTTACGTGTAAAGACAGCAGAATATAACACGTTCCTCCTAGAACTAACATGCAAATGAAATGAGATGAGTTTTTCTTCTTATTTACAATCAGAAAAGAAACTGAAGGTGGAAAGACAATAAAAGCATAAATAAACTCCATAGAATACATGTAACTGTCTGGCCCAGTTCCTGAAATTCACGGTGTGCTCGTGAAATCATGACCATCCCCCGCCTCTGTCACAGAGGGGCCCACCAAGGGGAGGGCCTGTCCCCAGGGGCACTGGGTCTGAGGCGGAGAGGAAGGGCCGGGGTGGGGATCCCCCACAGGGAAGGGGGAGCCACTGCCACCAGCCAGGATACCACTTCCTTAGAAGGGACACCCAGGCCTGTGAGTGGGGGACTTCCCACACTTGGGAAGTTTAGCTTTTTAAAAATTACAAAATGGAATATATAATCAAACTCCCTGGGGTTCCTGCATCTACTGCTGACAAGAAAACTTTAGAAGTAACAGAAGCTTAATGTTTATGAGTAGACTGATCATATTAAATACACTCAAATTTCCTGCAGAAATGAATGCCTTCTACCAGAAAAGACGACTGAGCACAGGGCAGAAAGGCCCAGCGCGAGCAGAACACTGTAAAAACCGCTCACTTTCAGCCTGGGTTTGGTTACAGGCCTCACTCCCTCTCATTAAGGAGGCTCTCCCACTCCTAGCTTAAGACTGATTAAATGACATGATTACCATTGTAATAAGATAGGTAACATCACTCTTTTATTAAAAACACGTCCCCAAACACAAACCTAAGGATGTGTCTGGTCTCAGCCTTAGGTACCAGCACATCTCACACTTCCCACGCTGGACCGACGGACAGAGAGCGACCAGCTGCGCCTTCCAGGCCGGCAGACTCGGGCCCCACCTGCCCTCCAGGTACAGGGCCCCGGCCTGTCCAGCAGGCACAAGCAACCCTTCCTAAGGCCCGTGACTGAAGTCATCAGTTGTAGGACAATAGAAAGTGTCAAGAAAGCGACATTCGGTTTCTCTTTAACTCCCAGTAAAGAGAGTGCCCTTGAACCCCATTACTTTCCGCAGCTCTGACGGTCCTTGGGGCCCACAGCCAGTAAATAAGTGAAATAAAGTGCTCTTGCATTTTGATAAACTATAAAACCCAACTCTCATAGATAAAGAACAGAGTAATTAAAAACGTCCAAAAAGCAAAACAAAACCTGTGAGCGTGAGGACTTTGACAAGCATTAGAAGAAACGAGGAGCACTTGGAAGAACGGAAGAGTCTTAAAAAATCCTTGAACTAAAATGATAAAGGCTACATCACAGAAATATCTTCAGCGAAACAGGACAGCGCTGGCCCTTTCCTTCTTGGGTCGGCCTTGTTAAGAGAATTCCCACGCACAAAGTCATTTAAAGACAGAGTTTTGATTCCTGTGAATTCATTCCACTACCCTCAATTCAGCTATTAAATTTTAAGGCAAATTTAGCAACTGAGAGTCTCACCCGAATTTCCAGAATTGCTCAAACTCAGCAAGAGCTTTGACAACTTCACTTAATGCTGGCTTACAAGCTGGTTCTGCAACAAGGCACAGCGGGTTGTAACTTGCCAAGCACAGGTAGGCGCCAGGCCGCACCAGGCCTCGCCAGGCGTCGTTATCACACTGCACACGTCCCCCAACAAACCGCTTCCCCAACACGCTGCGGGCACTGGGAGAGACGGGGCCCCCGCAACTGGCCCTAACCCACCCCCCCAAGCACTGTGGGGTACGGACAGGCCAAGAAAACATCATCTACTCATGCTTAATAGGAAATATACTTCTACAATTTAAAAGCGTCATTAAAAATAATAAAAATATACATCAGAAAGTGTGACTTACCACCATCAGACACAGTTGCAGACTGAAAGAAAAGAGAGAGAGACATGAGTTAATGAGGCCTCATGACAGGTCAGGAAACAGCACGTGCACATGAGGAGCAAACCCAGGGACTCCGGAGGGTCTGAGGCTCGCGGGCAGTGTCCCGGGAGAGCTGCCACCTCTCCGAGTCCAGAGTCACTTCCAGTTCCGGAGTGAGCTCCGCCCAGCGGAGCCGGGGCCCGGGAGGGCGGAGGTGCCCGTCTTCACTGAGCAAACCCCAGCATGTCCGACAGCCGGGCTTACTAACAACCTCGGTGCAACAGCCTTATGGATGTCAGTCTAACCGGCCCCGGGCCAAAGGGGCAGGGCCCCCGCCCGCAGTCCAGCCAGGGCCCATCAGCACCCGCGCCCGGGGCCCAGGCCCCCCAGAGTGGGGATACAATACAGCCCCCAGTGGTGGCAGAGCAGGGGTGGCCCACAGCCCACCCGGGCCTCACCAGGTGGAGCGGGAACAGCCCCGAGCAGGCAGGCGTGGGGGGAGCTCCAAGCAGGGGCTGGAAGAGGTGGGAGACTCAGGAGAGAAGGGGTGCTGATCAAAGGCCTAGGAACGAGAACCCAGGCACCGCGCAGGAGGGCAGGTCCCGACCAGAGGGGGGCGGCGGTGGAGGGAGGTCCCAGGGCGACAGGCACTCAGTCACTGAGCTCTGAGCAACTCACAGAGGGGACATCTGAGCAAGACCACCTGGGGACACACGTGCAGGTGGGACAGCTCTGAGGCTTTGGAAGGTCACCCCCAGGGAGAGACAAGACAGGGAGGGAGGGAGGGGCTCCTGAGAGGTCAGGACAGGGAAGAAGCCGGGTGGAGGAAGGCAGGGTGTCAGCGGCACAGACACCAAGAAGCCTGGCCCGTGGGAAGGGGGCCGGGTAACTGGCCACCCTCCATCGCTGCCCAGCGGCCGCAGAGGGGCTGCAGTCTCCCCGGGCCCATCCCCCCAGGCCTCGCACGCCTTCCTCTGCAGACAGAGGGGAGATGGGGTCCCAGGGCATGCGGGAGGATTGGCCGACAGAGGGGAGCGAACGGGGAGCACCTTCCCAAATCCCGGGCCTCCCCAGCAAGTGGAGGTCACTGTTTTTTTTAACTTTGGATTGAAGTGCAGTTGTTCACAATGTTAGCTTCAGGTGCACAGCAGTGATTCAGTTACACACACACACACACACACACACACACAATTTTTTCTAAGAGGTCATGTTTTAAGACCCCTGAGGCTAAAAGCCAAACCAGCAAGGCCCAGAGGCACCCCGGGTTAGCCGGCCTGCAGTTAACGCCCCCACCACGCCCACCACGGGGGAGTGAAGCACATGCCTGTGGTCTGGATTCTGAGAAGAGCCGCCCATGTCAAATGCAACCCCGGCTCACTGCTTGGCCTTCCCATCGCCAGCACCAGAGCCCCCAAACCCTGTTTCCCAGCCTTCTCCCATTTTGAGAAGACCTGGTCTCAGCCCCTCACCTCGTGGGACTTACACCTGCAAGACCAGAGAGCCTCCCGTCCTCGGACAACAAGAACAGGGCATGTCATGGCATCAAAGCATCCTGAGTCCCAGGTGAGAAACACTCTGGCACAGGAACTCGGCACCTTACCGATACATTTTTCCATGTAAAATCATATGCTGTTGTGTTTCCAGCTTTTAAACTGTTGTCTTGCCAGACAGGCAGGCAAAGAGCAGAGCCTGTGAGCCAACACAGCCATCAGCCCTTGCCCACTGAGGGTCCGGTTTTCCCTTCAGAAGCGGAGTGGGTCTCCTCCCCAGGCTGACAAATGCTCTGGGAAAGCTGTCCTTCCCACGCTCACAATACATCACCGCCAATCGTGGTATAAACTAAATAATATCAAAGGCACATTATTCCCTTGAGATGATGGGAAGAAAATCTGCCCTGGCTCGTGGTCTCCCACCTCGGCTCACGACCTGTTGTCCCGGCAACCATCTCTATCCCCACCAGACATCAGTCTGAAAGTACAGTTCCACGGAGACACGCTTTAATGTCACCCGGACATAAACCACGGTCCTCCTCCGAGTTTACACACTTTTGGAGAAATAGGCGATGACTTCTCAACCAGACTACTTAGTCTGCAAATAAGTTCCCAGTAACATAATTCTTCTGTTTACCGGCTAACGTTTGTTCAATTTATCTGCACGCACACCTGGGAGAGACAGAGCTGGTAGCAGGCGCAGGCACAGGGCCCTCCGGGTCCTCAGCCCTTGTGAGAGGGGCCCGGAAGCAGGCCTAGAAACACATCACAGCGGGCTCTTTCTAAGGGGAGGTGAAGCTGTCAGCGCACCGCAGTGACAGGTGCCGCCTCGGGGGAGGGTGGCCGGCACCGGGCGTCGGGGTGGCCAGGGGTGCAGGCGAACAGCCTGCTGGCGGCAGGCGGGGGGAGGCAGGCAGCCCCCAGGTCATCTCTCCCGGCCTCGGGGCTGATGCGTCCAGTGTCTGACCGAGTTACTCTTACACCCAGTTTGCCTTTCTTTTTTTGAGCACATCCTGGCTGATGGGGGAAGTCCAAAAAGGCAAAACTTCAGAAACTCCCATAGAGAATTCTGAAAGCACACCCCCCACAAAAGGCAAGCAGGACTGACTGCAGCTCAGTGTGACTCCAAGTCTCCCAGACTTCTTGCTTAGACCACTATACGCTTTTACGAATTAAAACTCGACACTCCTCGTGTTTGTTCTGAAACCCAGTGTAATTTGTATGAATAATGGGTTTTCATTAGCTCGGACTTCGTCAGTTCTTCCCAAATTCTCATGTGGACGTGCTATACTTACAAAAATTAGACCCGCAAAAGACAAGCTGCCCATGAAAAAAGGTCCCAGAAAGAGAGCGTCTTCTATGCTTACGATTTAAACATACACCATAATGAGCAGCGCTGAAGAGGTCTGTACGACGTCTCCAAGACTAGAGTTCACATCAGCGTAAGCACGTCTGTCTCACGAGAACACGCCAAGTGCTCTGGATGTGCTATTTAAGGTCGGACAGTCCCCATTCCTCGGGTCTGCCTCTCCAGCCGGAGAGTTCAGTTCCCAGCAGGATATCTGTTTGGACCGCACGGCCTGAGGAAAAGGGACAGTGCCCTGCAGCCCATCCCCCACAGGCTCCACAGCTGCACAACACCGTGCACACACACGCACACCACCCCACTCTTTCCAGCAGTTTCAACCAAAGAGACAACTGGACGTAAGGCTCACGTGGAGGCAAGGAAAAGGCACTGATTTCTAGGTTCAAACCGTGATGCTCACAGCAGAGAATTTCTGTGGCCCCAAGTCAGTGACGACAACAGAACGAAGGCACCCCGGGTGTGTCCAGTGCCACCCAGAGACACAGGCCTAGGCCAGGGACGGAGGGCAGGGCGGCCACCGCGAAGCCCCCGGAGGCTCCTGCAGAGGGAGAGGGCATGGGATGGGGCACTGAGGGGAATCTGTGTGTCTCCTTTCAAAGTGTGTGTGTCCCAAAGAGCTCTTCAGCTTCAATAAAATCAGAAGAAGCCGAGATCCCATAATGGCAGCTAGTATTTCTGCCATGCCCTTGGACACGCCTAAGATAATTCACTGCAAACGCTTGTAAAAGTCCGAAGTAACACAGATGTGGGGCCCAAGCGCCACACTGACACGGGGTTCAACGCAAACATCCGACTTTACACAAGACTCCTCAGACCCTACCACTGAAGTCCAGACTGAGAATCCCGCTCCTCACTGGCCCACCCAGCTTGAGAAAGACAAGAGCCCCCACCGCGGAGACAGGGCGGGAGGTCCAGGGCTCTGGAACCTTCCCAACTCAGCACCCCAACAGGACGAGTCAAGCTAACGCCAACACTGGCCTTCCCGGGACGGTCTGTGCAGGGAGCGGCACTGTGTAGTTCTCGGACGGAGGCGCGCCGGGAGCTCCTTCTGGGTAAGCAGAGCTCGCTCAGACCAGGGCCCCAGCCCCGCGCTCCTCTGAAGCTGAAGCCCCACCCCAGGAAATGTTTTCTTATAAAGGCTGAGATGGAGTCGAGCCTGGGCCAGAGCCGTATGCTTCCCAGGCAGGCAGAGCCCGGGTTCAGGTGGTTGTGGGTGCGGGATGTGGGGTGCAGCCGTGCCCTGAAGGTCAGCAGGGTGCGGGCAAATCCTGGGATGGCTTCCACTTGTTCAACCAGTTTTGCTGAGCACCAAGTCCCCTCGGGCTGTTGCTGGAGACAGGGGTGTGGGAGGAGGGCTGATGGCGGGCAAGGAAGGGTCACTGTCAGGCAGACCTGGAGGGGCTCGGAGGGTCGCATTCAGGGGCTTGGAGGCTGGCGCCGAGCCTGGGGTTGGGGAGACCAGGCAGGAGCAGGTGCAGGCGCTCCCTGGGCCTCCTGCATGTCCACAGGGACAAATTTCCAGGTCTGCAGAGGCAGGTCGGGGACGGCAGCCTCTGAGTGGCAGCTGGGAAGGGCCCAGAGGAGGGGAGCTGGTCAGAGGGTGCTGGTTCAGGAGACAAGCCTCCCCACCCCTGCCCCCACGCGCAGGACCACAGCTGAGAGGGGCCCAGCGTCCACTCCTGTCAGAGGAGGACCCGGGAGAAAGGGGCTGCATACAGCCTCGCAGGGGAAGGAGAGGAAGAGGGGACAGGACACAACTTCAAGAGAAGGATGCAGGGAAAACCCAGTTCACAGTGATCAACCTCTTCAGGAAAAAAAGCGGAAGATGTGAAAACAGAAATTTGATGACCGTTTCCCTCAGATAGATTAGGAGGCCTTCTTCTTAGATAGGTAACAAGAATCAGAGCGTTAAAAAGTGAGAAAAGAATTTGTGCAGCCGCAGATCCGGAGGGATGAACACAAAGGGTCCCTGCCTGACTGAAGCCCCTCCCCAGCCCAGTCTAGCCGGGGCAGGTAGGTGGCCTGACTGGGATGGTGCTGCCTGGCTCCAGTCAGGACCTTCCAGGAGTGGGCACAGGAGAGGCCAGAGCAGGTCAGTGAGCACAAGGCAGCTCATCTGAGCCAGAAAGAGAGACTCAGTCAAGGGGA